CCATTTTTTCAAAGGTGTTAAAAGAGATGGGTGGATGGAGTTAAAACTCAAAAGGCCGGAGATGATTTTCAGGAATGAGCAACCTTCAAAGTGTGCATGTTAGAGGTGATCAATACCTCTATAAAAAGGAAGAGGCGTTGGTTCAGAAATCGAAGGGCCGCTTATTCAAAAGTGAAGAGACATCGCTCTGCAAATCTCAAAAGCTGGGTTTTCCGGCATAAGTTGGCGACGCTTTCTCAGCTTTTCAGAACACGGGTGCCACTTTGTCAAAAGATCACGTGGAGGTCATCATCGCAGCTACACATCTTTAGCCGACAAGCGCGATGTTCGGTGGCGCTTTCTCTGCTTTTCAGAAAACGCGTGCAGCTTTGTCAAAAGAGGCGCTCGTTCAGAAATCGAAGAGGCGTCGTTCAGAAATCAAAGAGGCGTATTCAAAGATCGAAGAGTCGTCACTATTTCAAAAAGCCGGATTTGCGGGATCAAAAACGTTTGTCGACAAGGGTAAAAGAACAGTACCACCACTTGCTATTGGGAAATCCCTATATATGTCGACCTTCATCTTTTATGGCAAGGCAGACCTGCAAACAAAAAAAAAAAAAAATGCCCAACTCTTCCTCACCTCCGAGAGTACACTCCCAGCAAAGCATCTCAAAATGCTCAGTTTTCTTCATCTCCGGGAATGCCCTTGCAAACAAATGACACCAAGGCAAAAGTATCTCATATCATCAAGGGCGAAAGCAAAGGTATCTCATATCATGCTTTTCCCCTATCTTTTCCTTTGCCCTTGTTCTCACCTGCCAAGACAAGGACAGAGAAAGCAATATGTCGGAACCTCCACTCAAACTTGCGCTGCCACCAAGAAGTGATGGTCCATTCAAATGCAAGGTTTGCATTCAACTCCTGCATCAGGAACAAATACTACAAGAGAAGATGCTAAACCTGCATAAGGAAATACCACTTCTGCAAAGGGGAGCAAGTAAGGCAAGTGAAAATGATACATTGAAGCATGTGGAGACAAGCTGCAACTACATATGCTGAGCTATCCTCTAACCCTCTTCAATACGAATTGGAGAGATTGAACAAAGAAACAGAAAAAAAAAAGAGTAAGCTCAGACCTTCGGAGGAGACCAAAAGAATCCTTCAGTAAGTAGCAAGAACGAGTGGAGGAGACCAAAAGAATCCTGCACCCAGTTCAAGAGTAGCACAAAGGAAAATCAACGAGTGGAGGAGACCAAAAGAATCCTGCACCCAGTTCAAGAGTAAGCCTGCGGAAAATCAACGATTGGAGGAAACCAGAAAATCTTCCAGTCGAACTCAAGATCAAGCCTCAATGGCCCTTGAAGAAATTTCCAGCCCAATTCAAGATCAAGCCTCGACGGCCCTTGGGTTGACATCTACATTAAGGGACTTCAAAACGCATCTTCTACACGTGTCAAGCACATGTCTACGATGCGCCTTGAAGTGGGGGCATTTGTAGACATCGAAATTTCAGTAAAACAAATGTTCACCAATGCATTAAAGTTTTGACGTGTCAAGGCATACATGGCATACGCCACGTGTTGTACAAATTGTACACGTGGCGTGTGACTCAACAAAATAGGAAGAAATACCCTTGAAGGATTAAACAAGTTTTTCTTCTCATTTTGGGCAATGACAAGGCAAGTACATTTCAATCCATTGAGGATCAAAACAAGTTTTTCTTCTCATGTTGGGCAATGACAAGGCAAGCATACTTCAATCCATTACGGATCAAAGCAAGTTTTTCTCATTTGGGCAATGACAAAGCATACACATTTCAAGTTTAAAATGGTGTTAAGTGGGAAATTAGGCCATAAGTTACACCACTTCAAGTTTAAAATTGTATTAAGTGGGAAATTAGGCCATAAGTTACACCACTTCAAGTTTAAAATGGTATTAAGTGGGAAATTAGGCCATAAATTACACCACTTCAAGTTTTAAATGGTATTAAGTGGGAAATTAGGCAATAAGTTACACCACTTCAATTTCAATATTGCATTAAGTGGGAAAATTAGGCAATGGTGCTTGGAAAAGAAAAAAATATTTTGTGGTAGTGATTCATTCTCAAAGCCTATAAATAGGCTTCTCCATCAAGGTATCAAGCATCAACCAATTCACAAATACATTTCTCCACACACCAAAACCTTGAAGCCTTAGAGTTCTAAAGCTCTCAAGAAAATCCCGAAGGATCAAGAAAGCACTCTTCGTTCTTCGTCAAATCCTCCCTTAAGATCAAGCCCCAACGGCCCTTGAAGAACTTCCACCAACTCAAGATCAAGCCCCGACGGCCCATGAAGAAAGTGTTCATCCGTTCATCTCAAGATCAAGCCCCAACGGCCCTTGAAGAACTTCCACCAACTCAAGATCAAGCCCCGACGGCCCTTGAAGAAAGTGTTCATCCGTTTATCCTAAGATCAAGCCCCAATGGCCCTTTGGATCAACAACCTCAACAAATCCACACATCCAATCGTTCTTCAAGATTAAGCCCAAAAGCCCTTGAAGAACCACATCCAATCAACCTTCAAGATCAAGCCCAAAAAGCCCTTGAAGAAATCCACACAACCATTATTCAAGATCAAGCCCCGACGGCCCTTGAAGAAAGTGTTCATCCGTTCATCAAACTGTTCATCCTTAGATCAAGCCCCGACGACCCTTTGGATCAACAACTCATCCACAAACCTACACCCTACGAAGATAGAATCAGAGGACCAAATTTGAGAGAGATCGTAACCCCAAAATCATCAAACAAAAAATATTATTTTGTACACGTTATTCTTGTTTCTTGTTTCAAGGAACTTTCGTGTTCACAGTTCTCATCGGTAAGCGAAGATATCTGTGGCAAACGGATGTAGCTAATAACCATAAAGCAACAGTATTTAGCCGCAAAATAATTACAAAAAAGTTTGGTGCAAACCTGGGACTGTAGTTTCTGCCCTTGAGAAGAATGCTGCTGCATTAAATCTTCAATAGTCCTTTTTGCAGCCTGAAGTTGTTCAACAATTGTCTGTGGCAAACAGATGTAGCTAATAACCATAAGGCGACAATATTTAGCCGCAAAATAATTACAAAAAAGTTTGGTGCAAACCATTGGCCACAGAAAATCCATTAGCTTCCAAATCTCTCTGACTGAATGTTTCAATGGCTTCTTGTAACTTCGTCTCAACTTCCACAATGGGGGCTTCGAAAGAAGAATGAAGTTCTAAGGCTCTCGAGTGCTTATCTGTTAATTCTTCAACACTGCTCTTGTGCAAAGGCTCTGAACTGCATCCTAACAACATGTGTAAAAACAAGGACGAGGATGCACCAACTCATTAGTGGGTAAAGTCTTTTGGCAGCGTCCCAACTCCAAACCAAAACAAAAATAAAAAGATGTCGGACAATTCGAAGATAATACCTGGTGACTGGGAAGGCGACCGATCATCAAACTCACTAACAACCAGCTTTGCCCTTGGATAAACAACTTCAAACAAATCTGAGGCCAAAGGAAAAAGTTACAAACTTTACACATCAAGGGCGCAAGAAATGTCGCGGTAATACAAGGAACTCTGACGTGGAGCTTCTACAGGGATGATCTATATAGTAAACGATCGTATCCTATGGACCAGACCGAACTGACAATACCGGTTTGATACCAAAAAGAACACGATTGATCAAGGGCACATGCTAATATGAATAACTAGCAAGATTTCTCTGGCCCACTTTCATATCATATTCGCAGAATTCATGAAATGCGGATTCCCCACCATATACAATATATTTAAAACTACTATTTAATCGCCGTTTTTTGGTTTCTGATGACTCCAAATTGAAATTTCTATTTCAAAATGAAGTTCTAAACACAATTCAATAAAGAAACGCACAATGCCAATGACATCAGATTCACCAAACATGCAAATCCAAACTTTTCGCAACCATATTATCCGCAAAACACCTCAAATAATTACAATTAGTGATTAAGCATAAGATCAAACCTAAAAAACATTTCAAAACCACATGCAAACCAAATTAACCAATGGAGCATCTTCCATGGAAGAAATGGGAGAGATTAAAAGCTCGAATTCGAGAAATTGCCAAACCGAACAGCAATGCATCAAAACCACCACCAGATTAGATTCTTGCTTAGCTGTTAAGCTTGGGATGTTTAGTGATTAGTTATATATATTCTTAACTATCTTGCATGAATTGCAGAAATATAAATCTTGAGAGAAAGGAATAACATGAAAAGCAATCTTGTGTGAGAAGATAGAGCTCAGAATCTTTTAGATAGAGATCTTTATACAAGGTATTTCGAAGCCTACTTAATTCTAAAGCTATCACTACCATGGCAATTGCCTACGTGGCATGTGTAACTAATATCCCCCCTCAATCATTATTGGGATAGTCCAGAGTAAGATCAGCGGCTTAATGATCTTGTTTTCGTTCAATACAACCATAGGTTCTATTGATTTGTATTTCCAATGTTCTTTGGTCCAAGAAAACAGATGTTTTGCTAATCAACTATCTTATAGGGTTCATAATCACAAAGAACAGGAGTACGCGGATCCTATATCTTCTGACCACGACAGCATTGCCGAAGAGTGGGTAGCAGAGATGGAGATGCACCAAGAAGACACTGAAAATCCTGATTGGATGTCACTTGATCCCCCCTCTGGGAACTCGAGGCTTTTAGAACTTTCGGTTGATGAAGTTGAAGAATTAGGTTCAGGTAACTAAGTTTGAATGGTTTGTATGGTTTGTAATTTATCGTCGAAGATATAATCTTTTCTACATCTTGAGTTAAACTAGACAGTTGGTCAATGTACAGGGTATGATGACAATGAAATTTTGAACGGATTGAAAGTGGTTAAAGAAGAATGTTAAACACAACGTTGTGAGCTGGCGGGACAGAATGCAAAGACAAACATCTTTATGAGTTCACCACACCACCGTCACTTTCTTCAAGTACCTACGGAAAGCAAGGCACTTAGCAAACTCGCATGTCTAGAGATACTGCTCGGGCCAATTATATTCTTTCCCTGGCATTACTGCAGAGAGACGGAAATTAGGAGGAAAAATATGTGACCGCGGCCAGCCTTCAGGGATGTGAATTGGTTGGGCAAGTTCCTGCAACAAACAATTACAAGTAGGTAGTTTACATGGTAGAAAAATGAGGCTTTGTAGCTGACAATCAAAAATAGTTGTCGAACGAGTTTTCAGTTTTCAAATTTCAAAAAAAAAAAAAGAATAAAAACTGAAAATTAAATACTTATTAAACGGCCATGAAGTAATTTCATTTAGGGATCCGACCATATGACTCGAAAACAACTGAGACCGTCCTCTTCTTTTCGTATCAACAAACACACAAATTCTTATATTTCCGAAAGCATCTGCAACCCAATATACAAACTAAATACAAACTTGAATAATACATAACCATCTGTGTTTTGCTTTGCAAACAGCCAAGGGGATAGCAAAAACACAAAAACTTGATCTAGTATCGTTTCTCAAGAATGAGGCCAATGATTGCAGACACCATAGCCACTCCCACGATGAACTTAACACTCGACATTGGGGAAGCCTCTGCCTCTCTTTTCGCTGCAGTCGCCTTAATGCTTTCAACCTACAATTCGTTTGAGTCAGAAAGAATATTTAAAAGAAGAATGTGCCCCGTTCTTTGGCCGCCCAAGAGCTTTATGTGGATTTTTTTTTTCCAGGGAAATTGATTTCTACCTCTTTTTGCAGTCGAGCTTCAGTTTTCACCAATTTCTCTTCGAGTTCCTTGAGAAAATTTTGCAACAAAGTTTTCTCAGCAACCTCAGCCTTGAGATTTTCAACTCAGATCTTAAAGCAGCTTCTCCTGCTTTTTGTTCCTTGAGCTGTTCTTCAAGGTTGGATATCACTTGCTGGAGTTCCTTCTTAGTATTATGATGCACTTCATTAAGCAGGCTGTTCTCATCTGTAAGCGAAGATATCTGTGGCAAACGGATGTAGCTAATAACAATAAAGCAACAGTATTTAGCCGCAAAATAATTACAAAAAAGTTTGGTGCAAACCTGAGATTGTAGTTTCTGCCCTTGAGAAGAATGCTGCTGCATTAAATCTTCAATAGTCCTTTTTGCAGCCTGAAGTTGTTCAACTGATTCATCCTTCTCAGCAACAGCAGTGGAATATTTTGCTTCAAGGTCACTTTGTTTGCACTCGTATGTAGACACATCTTCTTTAAGCTTTATATTTGCCTCAGCTAGTTTTCTGCTCTCTTCTTCACAGTGAGCTGACTTGGTTTGCAGTTCCTTGAGAGAATTCTGCAATAAAGGCTTCTCAGCAACCTCAGCCTTGAGATTTTCAACCTCAGATTTTAAAGCAGCTTCTCCTGTTTTTTGTTCCTTGAGCTGTTCTTCAAGGTTAGATATCGCTTGCTGGAGTTCCTTCTTAGTATTTTGATGCACTTCATTAAGCAGGCTGTTCTCATCCGTAAGCAAAGATATCTGTGGCAAACAGATGTAGCTAATAACCATAAAGCAACAACATTTAGCCGCAAAATAATTACAAAAAAGTTTGGTGCAAACCTGAGATTGTAGTTTCTGCCCGTGAGAAGAATGCTGCTGCTTTAAATCTTCAATTGTCCTTTTTGCAGCCTGAAGTTGTTCAACTGATTCATCATTCTCAGCAACAGCAGTGGAATATTTTGCTTCAAGGTCACTTTGTTTGCACTCGTATGTAGACACATCTTCTTTAACCTTTATATTTGCCTCAGCTAGTTTTCTTCTCTCTTCGTCACAGCGAGCTAACTTGGTTTGCAGTTCCTTGAGAGAATTCTGCAATAAAGGTTTCTCAGCAACCTCAGCCTTGAGATTTTTAACCTCAGATATTAAAGCAGCTTCTTGTGCCCTTTGTTGATTGAGCTGTTCTTCAAGGTTAGATATCGCTTGCTGGAGTTCTTTCTCAGTATTTTGATGCTCTTCATTAAGTAGGCGGTTCTCATCCAGAAGCGAAGATATCTATGGCAAACAGATGTAGCTAATAACCATAAAGCAACAACATTTAGCCGCAAAATAATTACAAAAAAGTTTGGTGCAAACCTGAGATTGTAGTTTCTGCCCTTGAAAAGAATACTGCTGCTTTAAATCTTCAATTGTCCTTTTTGCAGCCTGAAGTTGTTCAACTGATTCATCATTCTCAGCAACAGCAGTGGAATATTTTGCTTCAAGGTCACTTTGTTTGGACTCGTATGTAGACACATCTTCTTCAAGCTTTATATTTGCCTCAGCTAGTTTTCTTCTCTCTTCGTCACAGCGAGCTAACTTGGTTTGCAGTTCCTTGAGAGAATTCTGCAATAAAGGTTTCTCAGCAACCTCAGCCTTGAGATTTTTAACCTCAGATATTAAAGCAGCTTCTTGTGCCCTTTGTCGATTGAGCTGTTCTTCAAGGTTAGATATCGCTTGCTGGAGTTCTTTCTTAGTATTTTGATGCACTTCATTAAGCAGGCGGTTCTCATCCAGAAGCGAAGATATCTGTGGCAAACAGATGTAGCTAATAACCATAAAGCAACAATATTTAGCCGCAAAATAATTACAAAAAAGTTTGATGCAAACCTGAGATTGTAGTTTCTGCCCTTGAGAAGAATGTTGCTGCGTTAAATCTTCAATAGTCCTTTTTGCAGCCTGAAGTTGTTCAACTGATTCATCCTTCTTAGCAACAGCAGTGGAATATTTTGCTTCAAGGTCACTTTGTTTGGACTTGCATGTAGACACATCTTCTTTAAGCTTTATATTTGCCTCAGCTAGTTTTCTTCTCTCTTCTTCAAAGTGAGCTAACTTGGTTTGCAATTCCTTGAGAGAATTCTGCAATAAAGGCTTCTCAGCAACCTCAGCCTTGAGATTTTCAACCTCAGATTTTAAAGCAGCTTCACTTGTTTTTTGTTCCTTGAGCTGTTCTTCAAGGTTAGATTTCGCTTGCTCGAGTTCCTTCATAGTATTTTTATACTCTTCATAAAGCCGGTTGTTCTCATTCGTAGGCCTAGATTGCTGTGGCAAACAGATGTAGCTAATAACCATAAGGCAACAATATTTAGCCACAAAATAATTACAAAAAAGTTTGGTGCAAACCACTGACCTGTTGTCCCATTAGCTTCCAAATCTTTCTGACTGAATGTTTCAATGGCTTCTTACAACTTCGTCTCAGCTTCCACAATGCGGGCTTCGGAAGCAGAATGAAGTTCTAAGGCTCTCGAGTGCTTATCTGTTAATTTTTCAACACTGCTCTTGTGCAAAGGCTTTGAACTGCATCCTAACAGCATGTGTAAAAACAAGGAAGAGGATGCACCAACTCATTAGTGGGTAAAGTCTTTTGGCAGCGTCCCGACTCCAAACCAAAACAAAAATAAAAAGATGCAGGACAATTCGAAGACAATACCTGGTGACTGGGAAGGTGACCGATCATCCAACTCACTGACAACTAACTTTGCCCTTGGATCAACAACTTCAAACAAATCTGAGGCCAAAGGAAAAAGTTACAAACTTTACACATCAAGGGCACAAGAAATGCACGGTAATACAAGCAACTCTGACGGGGAGCTTCTACAAGGATGATTTATATAGTAAACGATCGTATCCTATGGACCAGACCGAACTGACAATACCGGTTTGATACCAAGAAGAACACGATTGATCAAGGGCACATGCTAATATGAATAACTAGCCAGATTTCTATGGCTCACTTTCATATCATATTCGCAGAATTCCTGAAATGTGGATTCCCCACTATATACAATATATTCAAAACTACCATTTAATCGCCTTTTTTCGGTTTCTAATGACTCCAAATTGAAATTTCTATTTCAAAATGAAGTTCTAAACACAATTCAATAAAGAAACGCACAATGCCAATGACATCAGAATCACCAAACGTGCAAATCCAAACTTAACCCGGTTTTCGCAACCATATTATCCGTAAAACACCTCAAATAATTACAATTAGTGATTAAGCATAAGATCAAACCTAAAAAACATTTCAAATCCAAATGCAAACCAAATTAACCAATGGAGCAGCTTCCACGGAAGAAATGGGAGAGATTAAAAGCTCGAATTCGAGAGATTGCCAAACCGAACGGCAATGCATCAAAACCACCGCCAGATTAGATTCTTACTTAGCTGTTAAGCTTGGGATGTTTAGTGATTAGTTATATATATTCTTAACTATCTTGCATGAATTGCAGAAATATAAATCTTGAGAGAAAGGAATAACATGAAAAGCAATCTTGTGTGAGAAGATAGAGCTCAGAATCTTTTAGAGAGAGAGAGGGTTTATTACAATATAACCAACCGATTGCAAATGAGAGAGGGAAAAGATCTTTATACAAGGTATTTCGAAGACTACTTAATTCTAAAGCTATCACTGACATGGCAATTGCCTACGTGGCATGTATATCCAATATCCCCCCTCAATCATTAATGGGATAGTCGAGATTAAGATCAGCGGCTTAATGATCTTGTTTTCGTTCATTACAACCTCAGACTAAAACACAAGTGGAAACCATAGGTTCTGTTGATTTGTATTTCCAATGTTCTTTGGTCCAAGAAAACAGATGTTTTGCTAATCAACTGTCTTGTAGGGTTCATAAGCACAAAGAACAGGAGTACGCGGATCCTATATCATTTGACCGCGACAGCATTGCCGAAGAGTGTGTAGCAGAGATGGAGATGCACCAAGAAGACACTGAAAATCCCATACAGCATTCTTTTGGAAGCAACAACAAACTGGGATCGGACTCATTTCTTTCTCACTAAAGTTGAACGCAGATATTACAGTTGTCTCCCTCCCTTCACTAGTACTACAAGTCGGAGGGGTAGACCTTCTAAAGCAGCAACTGGTTCAGTTAATGCTGTTACGAAATTGAGTAATGCTTCACCTCCTGTTCCTATTGCATTAGGTACTGCTTTTCCCAATTCAAATTTGTTGGAAAATGAAGACGTTGGCGTAAGTAATACAAATGTGAGCGTGCAGAAGAGGGTAAGGGATGAAAATGCTTTGGGGGCTGCGAATGATGGAACCATCGGCAATGATTACCAGGTAAAAAGGTTGAGCATTGAACAAATACATATGGCAATTGGTCGGTTTTTGTATGAAATTCAGGCTCCCCTGGATGCAGTGAAGAACTCTGTTTATTTCCAGCCAATGATTGACGCAATTGCCTCTGGGGGAAAGGAGACTGTGGCACCCTCATATGATGACATTCGGGGTTGGATGTTGAAGAATGCAGTTGAAGAGATGAAGAGTGAAATTCAACAACACAAGGAAACTGGGGCGAGGACAGGTTGTTCTCTTCTAGTCAACCAATGGAATTCTGAAAAGGGTAGAACTTTGCAAAATTTTGCAGTGTACTCTCCTGAAGGAACAATCTATTTGAAATCTGTGGATGCTTCTTACTTTATTTTTTCCCCAGATGCTTTGTTTGCATTTTTCAAGGAAGTGGTGGAAGAAATTGGAGTGGGACATGTTTTCCAAGTCATTACAAATAGTGAAGAGCAATTTTCTGTTGTTGGGAAGAAGTTGATGGATACGTTCCCTACCCTGTACTGGTCTCCCTGTTCCGCTGCTTGCATAGATTCGATTCTCGAGGATTTCGGAAAGGTTGAGTGGATAAATTCTGTAATTGAACAGGCTAGATCTATTACAAGATTTATCTACAAACACGTTGTCATTTTGAACATGATGAGAAGGTATACGTTTGGGAATGACATTGTTAGGCTGGGAGTATCTAGGTTTGCAACAAACTTTATGACGTTGAAACAAATGGCTGACCTTAAATATAATTTGCAGTCGATGGCTACTTCAAACGAGTGGACGGGCTGCCCCTTTTCTAAAACACCAGAAGGATCGGCAGTGTTAGATATATTCAGCAATCAGTCATTTTGGTCTTCGTGCATTTTGATCACCCGTTTAACAAATCCGCTCTTGCGAGTTTTGAGAATTGTTGGTAGCCAGAAGAGGCCAGCGATGGGATATGTTTTTGCAGGGATGTATCGAGCAAAAGAAACAATCAAAATAGAACTTGTCAAGAAAGAAGAATATATGGTGTACTGGAACATTATAGATCAGAGATGGAAAAAATTGTGGGATTTTCCCCTTCACGCTGCAGGATTTTACCTTAATCCCAAGTTCTTTTATAGCTTCAAAGGAGACATGCATAATGAAATTGTGTCGAGGATGTTTGACTGCATAGAGAGATTGGTTCCTGATATAAAAGTCCAAGATGAAGTAATCAAAGAGATCAACTTGTACAAAAATGCTGTTGGAGATTTGGGGAGGAATTTGGCAGTCCGAGCAAGGGACAGTCTGCTTCCTGGTGAGAATAGTTCATTAGAATGCATTGTTATTTTGTGTCGCATGGTTTCTTTAGTTACTTGGCTATACATGTAGACGAAAGGTAATTAAGCCATATTTTAACTCAGTTAACTTTTATGTAATAGAATGATAGATATGATAAATTGCATAAAATATACCCTGACCATCTAATTTATCTATTTATTTTTAAAATTCGGTACGAGGGCTCCTATTTTGAGGATATGCTGCAGAGAGTTTGGATGTTCTTGCATCTTTTGGCTCATTTCTTTGAACTCTCTGTTTGTCTTAGCTGAATGGTGGTCGACATATGGTGGTGGTTGCCCAAACCTCGCACGCTTGGCAATTCGTATTCTCAGTAAAACTTGCATCTTAGTTCCGTGTCAGGAGAATCAGATTCCTTTCCAACAGTTGCACAAGACAAGGAACAGCGTAGAACAACAGCGGCTTAATGATCTTGTTTTCCTTCAATACAACCTCAAACTAAAACAGAAGTAAGTGGAAACCATAGGTTCTGTTGATTTGTATTCCCAATGTTCTTTGCTCAAAGAAAACAGATGTTTTGCTAATCAACTGTCTTATAGGGTTCACACGCACAAAGAACATAAGTACGTGGATCCTATATCATTTGACCGCAACAGCATTGCCGAAGAGTGGGTAGCAGAGATGGAGATGCACCAAGAAGACACTGAAAATCCTGATTGGATGTCACTTGATCCCCCCTCTGAGAACTCGAGGCTTTTACAACTTTCGGTTGATGAAGTTGAAGAATTGGGTTCAGGTAACTAAGTTTGTATGGTTTGTAATTTATCGTCGAAGATATAATCTTTTCTACATCTTGAGTTAAACTGGACAGTTGGTCAATGTACAGGGTATGATGACAATGAAATTTTGAACGGATTGAAAGTGGTTAAAGAAGAATGTTAAACACAGTGCTGTGAGCCGGCGGGACATAATGCAAAGACAAACATCTTTATGAGTTCACCACACCACCGCCACTTTCTTCAAGTACCTACGGGAAGCAAGGCACTTAGCAAACTCGCATGTCTAGAGATACTGCTCGGGCCAATTATATTCTTTCCCTGGCATTACTGCAGAGTGACGGAAATTAGGAGGAAAAATATGTGACCGCGGCCAGCCTTCAGGGATGTGAATTGGTTGGGCAAGTTCCTGCAACAAACAATTACAAGTAGGTAGTTTACATGGTAGAAATATGGGGCTTTGTAGCTGACTTTTCAAAAATAGTTGGATGAACGAGTTTTCAGTTTTCAATTTTCAAAAAGAAATATAAAAACTGAAAATTAAATACTTATCAAACGGCCCTAAAGTAATTTCATTTTGGGATCCGACCATATGACTCGAAAACAACTGAGACCGTTCTCTTCTTTTCGTATCAACAAACGCACAAATTCTTATATTTCCGAAAGCATCTGCAACCCAATATACAAACTAAATACAAACTTGAATAATACATAACCATCTGTGTTTTGCTTTGCAAACAGCCAAGGGGATAGCAAAAACACAAAAACTTGATCTGGTATCGTTTCCCAAGAATGAGGCCGATGATCGCAGACACCATAGCCACTCCCACGATGAACATAACACTTGGCATTGGGGAAGCCTCTGCCTCTTTTTTCGCTGCAGCAGCCTTAATGCTTTCAGCCTACAATTCGTCTGAGTCAGAAAGAATATTTAAAAGATGAATGTGCCCCGTTCTTTGGCTGCCCAAGAGCTTATCTGTGGATTTTTTTCAGGGAAATTGATTTCTACCTCTTTTTGCAGTCGAGCTTCAGTTTTCACCAATTTCTCTTCGAGTTCCTTGAGAAAATTTTGCAACAAAGTTTTCTCAGCAACCTCAGCCTTGAGATTTTCAACTCAGATCTTAAAGCAGCTTCTCCTGCTTTTTGTTCCTTAAGCAGTTCTTCAAGGTTGGATATCACTTGCTGGAGTTCCTTCTTAGTATTTTGATGCACTTCATTAAGCAGGTTGTTCTCATCTGTAAGCGAAGATATCTGTGGCAAACAGATGTAGCTAATAACAATAAAGCAACAATATTTAGCCGCAAAATAATTACAAAAAAGTTTGGTGCAAGCCTGAGATTGTAGTTTCTGCCCTTGAGAAGAATGTTGCTGCATTAAATCTTCAATAGTCCTTTTTGCAGCCTGAAGTTGTTCAACTGATTCATCCTTCTCAGCAACAACAGTGAAATATTTTGCTTCAAGGTCACTTTGTTTGCACTCGTATGTAGACACATCTTCTTTAAGCTTTATATTTGCCTCAGCTAGTTTTCTGCTCTCTTCTTCACAGTGAGCTGACTTGGTTTGCAGTTCCTTGAGAGAATTTTGCAACAAAGTTTTCTCAGCAACCTCAGCCTTGAGGATTTCAACCTCAGATTTTAAAGCAGCTTCTCCTGTTTTTTGTTCCTTGAGCTGTTCTTCAAGGTTAGATATCGCTTGCTGGAGTTCCTTCTTAGTATTTTGATGCACTTCATTAAGCAGGCTGTTCTCATCCGTAAGCGAAGATATCTGTGGCAAATAGATGTAGCTAATAACCATAAAGCAACAACATTTAGCCGCAAAATAATTACAAAAAAGTTTGGTGCAAACCTGAGATTGTAGTTTCTGCTCTTGAGAAGAATGCTGCTGCTTTAAATCTTCAATAGTCCTTTTTGCAGCCTGAAGTTGTTCAACTGATTCATCCTTCTCAGCAACTGCATTGGAATATTTTGCTTCAAGGTAACTTTGTTTGAACTCGTATGTAGACACATCTTCTTTAAGCTTTCTATTTGCCTCAGCTAGTTTTCTGCTCTCTTCTTCACAGCGAGCTAACTTGGTTTGCAGTTCCTTGAGAGAATTCTGCAATAAAGGTTTCTCAGCAGCCTCAGCCTTGAGATTTTTAACCTCAGATATTAAAGCAGCTTCTCGTGCTCTTTGTTGATTGAGCTGTTCTTGAAGTCTGGATATCTCTCGCAGGAGCACAGATGTCTGTGGCAAACAGATGTAGCTAATAACCATAAGGCGACAATATTTAGCCGCAAAATAATTACGAAAAAGTTTGGTGCAAACCGTTGGAAACAGAAAATCCATTAGCTTCCAAATCTCTTTGACTGAATGTTTCAATGGCTTCTTGCAACGTCGTCTCAGCTTCCACAATGGGGGCTTCAGAAGCAGAATGAAGTTCTAAGGCTCTCGAGTGCTTATCTGTTAATTCTTTAACACTGCTCTTGTGCAAAGGCTCTGAACTGCATCCTAACAACATGTGTAAAAACAAGGAAGAGGATGCACCAACTCATTAGTGGGTAAAGTCTTTTGGCAGCGTCCCAACTCCAAACCAAAACAAAAATAAAAAGATGCAGGACAATTCAAAGACAATACCTGGTGACTGGGAAGGTGACCGATCATCCAACTCACTGACAACCAGCTTTGCCCTTAGATCAACAACTTGAAACAAATCTGAGGCCAAAGGAAAAAGTTACAAACTTTACACATCAAGGGCGCAAGAAATGTCGCGGTAATACAAGGAACTTTGACGTGGAGCTTCGACAGGGATGATTTATATAGTAAATGATCGTATCCTATGGACCAGACCGAACTGACAATACCGGTTTGATACCAAGAAGAACACGATTGATCAAGGGAACATGCTAATATGAATAACTAGCCAGATTTCTCTGGCTCACTTTCATATCATATTCGCAGAATTCATGAAATGCGGATTCCCCACTATATTTCTGATGACTCCAAATTGAAATTCTGTTTCAAAATGAAGTTCTAAACACAATTCAATAAAGAAACGCACAATGCCAATGACATCAGAATCACCAAACGTGCGAATCCAAACTTAACCCGGTTTTCGCAACCATATTATCCGTAAAACACCTCAAATAATTACAATTAGTGATTAAGCATAAGATCAAACCTAAAAAACATTTCAAATCCAAATGCAAACCAAATTAACCAATGGAGCAGCTTCCACGGAAGAAATGGGAGAGATTAAAAGCTCGAATACGAGAGATTGCCAAACCGAACGGCAATGCATCAAAACCACCGCCAGATTAGATTCTTACTTAGCTTTTAAGCTTGGGATGTTTAGTGATTAGTTATATATATTCTTAACTATCTTGCATGAATTGCAGAAATATAAATCTTGAGAGAAAGGAATAACATGAAAAGCAATCTTGTGTGAGAAGATAGAGCTCAGAATCTTTTAGAGAGAGAGAGGGTTTATTACAATATAACCAACCGATTGCAAATGAGAGAGGGAAAAGATCTTTATACAAGGTATTTCGAAGACTACTTAATTCTAAAGCTATCACTGACATGGCAATTGCCTACGTGGCATGTATATCCAATATCCCCCCTCAATCATTAATGGGATAGTCGAGATTAAGATCAGCGGCTTAATGATCTTGTTTTCGTTCATTACAACCTCAGACTAAAACACAAGTGGAAACCATAGGTTCTGTTGATTTGTATTTCCAATGTTCTTTGGTCCAAGAAAACAGATGTTTTGCTAATCAACTGTCTTGTAGGGTTCATAAGCACAAAGAACAGGAGTACGCGGATCCTATATCATTTGACCGCGACAGCATTGCCGAAGAGTGTGTATCAGAGATGGAGATGCACCAAGAAGACACTGAAAATCCAATACAGCATTCTTTTGGAAGCAACAACAAACTGGGATCGGACTCATTTCTTTCTCACTAAAGTTGAACGCAGATATTACAGTTGTCTCCCTCCCTTCACTAGTACTACAAGTCGGAGGGGTAGACCTTCTAAAGCAGCAACTGGTTCAGTTAATGCTGTTACGAAATTGAGTAATGCTTCACCTCCTGTTCCTATTGCATTAGGTACTGCTTTTCCCAATTCAAATTTGTTGGAAAATGAAGACGTTGGCGTAAGTAATACAAATGTGAGCGTGAAGAAGAGGGTAAGGGATGAAAATGCTTTGGGGGCTGCGAATGATGGAACCATCGGCAATGATTACCAGGTAAAAAGGTTGAGCATTGAACAAATACATATGGCAATTGGTCGGTTTTTGTATGAAATTCAGGCTCCCCTGGATGCAGTGAAGAACTCTGTTTATTTCCAGCCAATGATTGACGCAATTGCCCTGGGGGAAAGGAGACTGTGGCACCCTCATATGATGACATTCGGGGTTGGATGTTGAAGAATGCAGTTGAAGAAATGAAGTGTGAAATTCAACAACACAAGGAAACTTGGGCGAGGACAGGTTGTTCTCTTCTAGTCAACCAATGGAATTCTGAAAAGGGTAGAACTTTGCTAAATTTTGCAGTGTACTCTCCTGAAGGAACAATCTGTTTGAAATCTGTGGATGCTTCTTACTTTATTTTTTCCCCAGATGCTTTGTTTGCATTTTTCAAGGAAGTGGTGGAAGAAATTGGAGTGGGACATGTTTTACAAGTCATTACAAATAGTGAAGAGCAATTTTCTGTTGTTGGGAAGAAGTTGATGGATACGTTCCCTACCCTGTACTGGTCTCCCTGTTCCGCTGCTTGCATAGATTCGATTCTCGAGGATTTCGGAAAGGTTGAGTGGATAAATTCTGTAATTGAACAGGCTAGATCTATTACAAGATTTATCTACAAACACGTTGTCATTTTGAACATGATGAGAAGGTATACGTTTGGGAATGACATTGTTAGGCTGGGAGTATCTAGGTTTGCAACAAACTTTATGACGTTGAAACAAATGGCTGACCTTAAATATAATTTGCAGTCGATGGCTACTTCAAACGAGTGGACGGGCTGCCCCTTTTCTAAAACACCAGAAGGATCGGCAGTGTTAGATATATTCAGCAATCAGTCATTTTGGTCTTCGTGCATTTTGATCACCCGTTTAACAAATCCGCTCTTGCGAGTTTTGAGAATTGTTGGTAGCCAGAAGAGGCCAGCGATGGGATATGTTTTTGCAGGGATGTATCGAGCAAAAGAAACAATCAAAATAGAACTTGTCAAGAAAGAAGAATATATGGTGTACTGGAACATTATAGATCAGAGATGGAAAAAATTGTGGGATTTTCCCCTTCACGCTGCAGGATTTTACCTTAATCCCAAGTTCTTTTATAGCTTCAAAGGAGACATGCATAATGAAATTGTGTCGAGGATGTTTGACTGCATAGAGAGATTGGTTCCTGATATAAAAGTCCAAGATGAAGTAATCAAAGAGATCAACTTGTACAAAAATGCTGTTGGAGATTTGGGGAGGAATTTGGCAGTCCGAGCAAGGGACAGTCTGCTTCCTGGTGAGAATAGTTCATTAGAATGCATTGTTATTTTGTGTCGCATGGTTTCTTTAGTTACTTGGCTATACATGTAGACGAAAGGTAATTAAGCCATATTTTAACTCAGTTAACTTTTATGTAATAGAATGATAGATATGATAAATTGCATAAAACATACCCTGACCATCTAATTTATCTATTTATTTTTAAAATTCGGTACGAGGGCTCCTATTTTGAGGATATGCTGCAGAGAGTTTGGATGTTCTTGCATCTTTTGGCTCATTTCTTTGAACTCTCTGTTTGTCTTAGCTGAATGGTGGTCGACATATGGTGGTGGTTGCCCAAACCTCGCACGCTTGGCAATTCGTATTCTCAGTCAAACTTGCAGCTTAGTTCCGTGTCAGGAGAATCAGATTCCTTTCCAACGGTTGCACAAGACAAGGAACAGCGTAGAACAACAGCGGCTTAATGATCTTGTTTTCCTTCAATACAACCTCAAACTAAAACAGAAGTAAGTGGAAACCATAGGTTCTGTTGATTTGTATTCCCAATGTTCTTTGCTCAAAGAAAACAGATGTTTTGCTAATCAACTGTCTTATAGGGTTCACACGCACAAAGAACATAAGTGCGTGGATCCTATATCATTTGACCGCAACAGCATTGCCGAAGGGTGGGTAGCAGAGATGGAGATGCACCAAGAAGACACTGAAAATCCTGATTGGATGTCACTTGATCCCCCCTCTGAGAACTCGAGGCTTTTACAACTTTCGGTTGATGAAGTTGAAGAATTGGGTTCAGGTAACTAAGTTTGTATGGTTTGTAATTTATCGTCGAAGATATAATCTTTTCTACATCTTGAGTTAAACTGGACAGTTGGTCAATGTACAGGGTATGATGACAATGAAATTTTGAACGGATTGAAAGTGGTTAAAGAAGAATGTTAAACACAGCGCTGTGAGCCGGCGGGACAGAATGCAAAGACAAACATCTTTATGCGTTCACCACACCACCGCCACTTTCTTCACGTACCTACGGGAAGCAAGGCACTTAGCAAACTCGCATGTCTAGAGATACTGCTCGGGCCAATTATATTCTTTCCCTGGCATTACTGCAGAGTGACGGAAATTAGGAGGAAAAATATGTGACCGCGGCCAGCCTTCAGGGATGTGAATTGGTTGGGCAAGTTCCTGCAACAAACAATTACAAGTAGGTAGTTTACATGGTAGAAATATGGGGCTTTGTAGCTGACTTTTCAAAAATAGTTGGAGAACGAGTTTTCAGTTTTCAATTTTCAAAAAGAAATATAAAAACTGAAAATTAAATACTTATCAAACGGCCCTAAAGTAATTTCATTTTGGGATCCGACCATATGACTCGAAAACAACTGAGACCGTCCTCTTCTTTTCGTATCAACAAACGCACAAATTCTTATATTTCTGAAAGCATCTGCAACCCAATATACAAACTAAATACAAACTTGAATAATACATAACCATCTGTGTTTTGCTTTGCAAACAGCCAAGGGGATAGCAAAAACACAAAAACTTGATCTGGTATCGTTTCCCAAGAATGAGGCCGATGATCGTAGACACCATAGCCACTCCCACGATGAACATAACACTTGGCATTGGGGAAGCCTCTGCCTGTTTTTTCGCTGCAGCAGCCTTAATGCTTTCAGCCTACAATTCGTCTGAGTCAGAAAGAATATTTAAAAGATGAATGTGCCCCGTTCTTTGGCTGCCCAAGAGCTTATCTGTGGATTTTTTTCAACGAAATTGATTTCTACCTCTTTTTGCAGTCGAGCTTCAGTTTTCACCAATTTCTCTTCGAGTTCCTTGAGAAAATTTTGCAACAAAGTTTTCTCAGCAACCTCAGCCTTGAGATTTTCAACTCAGATCTTAAAGCAGCTTCTCCTGCTTTTTGTTCCTTGAGCTGTTCTTCAAGGTTGGATATCACTTGCTGGAGTTCCTTCTTAGTATTTTGATGCACTTCATTAAGCAGGTTGTTCTCATCTGTAAGCGAAGATATCTGTGGCAAACAGATGTAGCTAATAACAATAAAGCAACAATATTTAGCCGCAAAATAATTACAAAAAAGTTTGGTGCAAACCTGAGATTGTAGTTTCTGCCCTTGAGAAGAATACTGCTGCATTAAATCTTCAATAGTCCTTTTTGCAGCCTGAAGTTGTTCAACTGATTCATCCTTCTCAGCAACAACAGTGAAATATTTTGCGTCAAGGTCACTTTGTTTGCACTCGTATGTAGACACATCTTCTTTAAGCTTTATATTTGCCTCAGCTAGTTTTCTGCTCTCTTCTTCACAGTGAGCTGACTTGGTTTGCAGTTCCTTGAGAGAATTTTGCAACAAAGTTTTCTCAGCAACCTTAGCCTTGAGATTTTCAACCTCAGATTTTAAAGCAGCTTCTCCTGTTTTTTGTTCCTTGAGCTGTTCTTCAAGGTTAGATATCGCTTGCTGGAGTTCCTTCTTAGTATTTTGATGCACTTCATTAAGCAGGCTGTTCTCATCCGTAAGCGAAGATATCTGTGGCAAATAGATGTAGCTAATAACCATAAAGCAACAACATTTAGCCGCAAAATAATTAGAAAAAAGTTTGGTGCAAACCTGAGATTGTAGTTTCTGCTCTTGAGAAGAATGCTGCTGCTTTAAATCTTCAATAGTCCTTTTTGCAGCCTGAAGTTGTTCAACTGATTCATCCTTCTCAGCAACAGCAGTGGAATATTTTGCTTCAAGGTCACTTTGTTTGCACTCGTATGTAGACACATCTTCTTTAAGCTTTATATTTGCCTTAGCTAGTTTTCTGCTATCTTCTTCACAGTGAGCTGACTTGGTTTGCAGTTCCATGAGAGAATTCTGCAATAGCAGCTTCCCCTGTTTTTTGTTCCTTGAGCTGTTCTTCAAGGTTAGATATCGCTTGCTGGAGTTCCTTCTTAGTATTTTGATGCACTTCATTCAGCAGGCTATTCTCATCCGTAAGCGAAGATATCTGTGGCAAATAGATGTAGCTAATAACCATAAAGCAACAACATTTAGCTGCAAAATAATTACAAAAAAGTTTGGTGCAAACCTGAGATTGTAGTTTCTGCCCTTGAGAAGAATGCTGCTCCTTTAAATCTTCAATTGTCCTTTTTGCAGCCTGAAGTTGTTCAACTGATTCATCATTCTCAGCAACAGCAGTGGAATATTTTGCTTCAAGGTCACTTTGCTTGGACTCGTATGTAGACACATCTTCTTTAAGCTTTATATTTGCATCAGCTAGCTTTCTGCTCTCTTCTTCAAAGTGAGCTGACTTGGTTTGCAGTTCCTTGAGAGAATTCTGCAATAAAGGCTTCCCAGCAGCCTCAGCCTTGAGATTTTCAACCTCAGATTTTAAAGCAGCTTCTCCTGTTTTTTGTTCCTTGAGTTGTTCTTCAAGGTTAGATATCGCTAGCTGGAGTTCCTTCTTAGTATTTTGATGCACTTCATTAAGCAGGTTGTTCTCATCGGTAAGCGAAGATATCTGTGGCAAATAGATGTAGCTAATAACCATAAAGCAATAGTATTTAGCCGCAAAATAATTACAAAAAAGTTTGGTGCCAACCTGAGATTGTAGTTTCTGCCTTTGAGAAGAATGCTGCTGCATTAAATCTTCAATAGTCCTTTTTGCAGCCTGAAGTTTTTCAACTGATTCATCCTTCTCAGCAATAGCACTGGAATATTTTGCTTCAAGGTCACGTTGTTTGGACTTGTATGTAGACACATCTTCTTTAAGCTTTTTATTTGCCTTAGCTAGTTTTCTGCTATCTTCTTCACAGCGAGCTAACTTGGTTTGCAGTTCCTTGAGAGAATTCTGCAATAAAGGTTTCTCAGCAGCCTCAGCCTTGAGATTTTTAACCTTAGATTTTAAAGCAGCTTATCCTACTTTTTGTTCCTTAAGCTGTTCTTTAAGGTTGGATATCACTTGCTGAAGTTCCTTCTTAGTATTTTGATGCACTTCATTAAGCAGGCGGTTCTCATCCATAAGCGAAGATATCTGTGGCAAACAGATGTAGCTAATGACCATAAAGCAACAATATTTAGCCGCAAAATAATTACAAAAAAGTTTGGTGCAAACCTGAGATTGTAGTTTCTGCCCTTCAGAAGAATGTTGTTGCGTTAAATCTTCAATAGTCTTTTTTGCAGCCTGAAGTTGTTCAACTGATTTGTCATTCTTAGCAATGGCAGTGGAATATTTTGCTTCAAGGTCACTTTGTTTGGACTCGTACGTAGACACATCTTCTTTAAGCTTTTTATTTGCCTCAACTAGTTTTCTGCTCTCTTCTTCACAATGAGCTAACTTGGTTTGCAGTTCCTTGAGAGAATTCTGCAATAAAGGTTTCTCAGCAGCCTCAGCCTTGAGATATTTAACCTCAGATTTTAAAGCAGCTTCTCCTGCTTTTTGTTCCTTGAGCTTTTCTTCAAGGTTGGATATCACTTGCTGGAGTTCCTGCTTAGTATTTTGATGCACTTCATTAAGCAGACGGTTCTCATCCATAAGCGAAGATATCTGTGGCAAATAGATGTAGCTAATAACCATAAAACAACAATATTTAGCCGCAAAATAATTACAAAAAAGTTTGGTGCAAACCTGAGATTGTAGTTTCTGCCCTTGAGAAGAATGCTGCTGCGTTAAATCTTCAATAGTCCTTTTTGCAGCCTGAAGTTGTTCAACTGATTTGTGCTTCTCAGCAACGGCAGTGGAATATTTTGCTTCAAGGTCACATTGTTTGTACTTGCATGTAGACACATCTTCTTTAAACTTTATATTTGCCTCAGCTAGTTTTCTTCTCTCTTCTTCAAAGCGAGCTGACTTGGTTTGCAGTTCCTTGAGAGAATTCTGCAATAAAGGTTTCTCAGCAACCTCATCCTTGAGAATTTGAACCTCAGATATTAAAGCAGCTTCTCGTGCTCTTTGTTCATTGAGCTGTTCTTTAAGTTCAGATATCTCTCGCTGGAGCAGGACCTCGCGCACAATTATCTGTGGCAAACAGATGTAGCTAATAACCATAAGGCGACAATATTTAGCCGCAAAATAATTACAAAAAAGTTTAGTGCAAACCACTGGCAACAGAAATGCCATTAGCTTCCAAATCTCTCTGACTGAATGTTTCAATGGCTTCTTGCAACTTCGTCTCAGCTTCCACAATGCGGGCTTTGAAAGCAGAATGAAGTTCTAAGGCTCTCGAGTGCTTATCTGTTAATTCTTCAACACTGCTCTTGCGCAAAGGCTTTGAACTGCATCGTAACAACATGTGTAAAAACAAGGAAGAGGATGCACCAACTCATTAGTGGGTAAAGTCTTTTGTTCCTTGAGCTGTTCTTCAAGGTTAGATATCGCTAGCTGGAGTTCCTTCTTAGTATTCTGATGCACTTCATTAAGCAGGTTGTTCTCATCGGTAAGCGAAGATATCTGTGGCAAACGGATGTAGCTAATAACCATAAAGCAACAGTATTTAGCCGCAAAATCATTACAAAAAAGTTTGGTGCAAACCTGGGATTGTAGTTTCTGCCCTTGAGAAGAATGCTGCTGCATTAAATCTTCAATAGTCCTTTTTGCAGCCTGAAGTTGTTCAACAATTGTCTGTGGCAAACAAATGTAGCTAATAACCATAAGGCGAAATATTTAGCCGCAAAATAATTACAAAAAAGTTTGGTGCAAACCATTGGCCACAGAAAATCCATTAGCTTCCAAATCTCTCTGACTGAATGTTTCAATGGCTTCTTGTAACTTCGTCTCAACTTCCGCAATGGGGGCTTCGAAAGCAGAATGAAGTTCTAAGGCTCTCGAGTGCTTATCTGTTAATTCTTCAACACTGCTCTTGTGCAAAAGCTCTGAACTGCATCCTAACAACATGTGTAAAAACAAGGACGAGGATGCACCAACTCATTAGTGGGTAAAGTCTTTTGGCAGCGTCCCAACTCCAAACCAAAACAAAAATAAAAAGATGCCGGACAATTCGAAGATAATACCTGGTGACTGGGAAGGCGACCGATCATCAAACTCACTAACAACCAGCTTTGCCCTTGGATAAACAACTTCAAACAAATCTGAGGCCAAAGGAAAAAGTTACAAACTTTACACATCAAGGGCGCAAGAAATGTCGCGGTAATACAAGGAACTCTGACGTGGAGCTTCTACAAGGATGATCTATATAGTAAACGATCGTATCCTATGGACCAGACCGAACTGACAATACCGGTTTGATACCAAAAAGAACACGATTGATCAAGGGCACATGCTAATATGAAGAACTAGCAAGATTTCTCTGGCTCACTTTCATATCATATTCGCAGAATTCATGAAATGCGGATTCCCCACCATATACAATATATTTAAAACTACTATTTAATCGCCGTTTTTTGGTTTCTGATGACTCCAAATTGAAATTTCTATTTCAAAATGAAGTTCTAAACACAATTCAATAAAGAAACGCACAATGCCAATGACATCAGATTCACCAAACATGCAAATCCAAACTTTTCGCAACCATATTATCCGCAAAACACCTCAAATAATTACAATTAGTGATTAAGCATAAGATCAAACCTAAAAAACATTTCAAAACCACATGCAAACCAAATTAACCAATGGAGCATCTTCCATGGAAGAAATGGGAGAGATTAAAAGCTCGAATTCGAGAAATTGCCAAACCGAACAGCAATGCATCAAAACCACCACCAGATTAGATTCTTGCTTAGCTGTTAAGCTTGGGATGTTTAGTGATTAGTTATATATATTCTTAACTATCTTGCATGAATTGCAGAAATATAAATCTTGACAGAAAGGAATAACATGAAAAGCAATCTTGTGTGAGAAGATAGAGCTCAGAATCTTTTAGAGAGAGATCTTTATACAAGGTATTTCGAAGCCTACTTAATTCTAAAGCTATCACTACCATGGCAATAGCCTACGTGGCATGTGTAACTAATATCCCCCCTCAATCATTACTGGGATAGTCCAGAGTAAGATCAGCGGCTTAATGATCTTGTTTTCGTTCAATACAACCATAGGTTCTGTTGATTTGTATTTCCAATGTTCTTTGGTCCAAGAAAACAGATGTTTTGCTAATCAACTATCTTATAGGGTTCATAATCACAAAGAACAGGAGTACGCGGATCCTATATCTTCTGACCACGACAGCATTGCCGAAGAGTGGGTAGAAGAGATGGAGATGCACCAAGAAGACACTGAAAATCCTGATTGGATGTCACTTGATCCCCCCTCTGAGAACTCGAGGCTTTTACAACTTTCGGTTGATGAAGTTGAAGAATTGGGTTCAGGTAACTAAGTTTGTATGGTTTGTATGGTTTGTAATTTATCGTCGAAGATATAATCTTTTGTACATCTTGAGTTAAACTAGACAGTTGGTCAATGTACAGGGTATGATGACAATGAAATTTTGAACGGATTGAAAGTGGTTAAAGAAGAATGTTAAACACAACGTTGGGAGCTGGCGGGACAGAATGCAAAGACAAACATCTTTATGAGTTCATCACACCACCATCACTTTCTTCAAGTACCTACGGAAAGCAAGGCACTTAGCAAACTCGCATGTCTAGAGATACTGCTCGGGCCAATTATATTCTTTCCCTGGCATTACTGCAGAGGGACGGAAATTAGGAGGAAAAATATGTGACCGCGGCCAGCCTTCAGGGATGTGAATTGGTTGGGCAAGTTCATGCAACAAACAATTACAAGTAGGTAGTTTACATGGTAGAAAAATGAGGCTTTGTAGCTGACAATCAAAAATAGTTGTCGAACGAGTTTTCAGTTTTCAAATTTCAAAAAAAAAAAAAGAATAAAAACTGAAAATTAAATACTTATCAAACGGCCATGAAGTAATTTCATTTAGGGATCCGACCATATGACTTGAAAACAACTGAGACCGTCCTCTTCTTTTCGTATCAACAAACACACAAATTCTTATATTTCCGAAAGCATCTGCAACCCAATATACAAACTAAATACAAACTTGAATAATACATAACCATCTGTGTTTTGCTTTGCAAACAGCCAAGGGGATAGCAAAAACACAAAAACTTGATCTAGTATCGTTTCTCAAGAATCAGGCCAATGATCGCAGACACCATAGCCACTCCCACGATGAACTTAACACTCGACATTGGGGAAGCCTCTGCCTCTCTTTTCGCTACAGTCGCCTTAATGCTTTCAACCTACAATTCGTTTGAGTCAGAAAGAATATTTAAAAAAAGAATGTGCCCCGTTCTTTGGCCGCCCAAGAGCTTTATGTGGATTTTTTTTTTCCAGGGAAATTGATTTCTACCTCTTTTTGCAGTCGAGCTTCAGTTTTCACCAATTTCTCTTCGAGTTCCTTGAGAAAATTTTGCAACAAAGTTTTCTCAGCAACCTCAGCTTTGAGATTTTCAACTCAGATCTTAAAGCAGCTTCTCCTGCTTTTTGTTCCTTGAGCTGTTCTTCAAGGTTGGATATCACTTGCTGGAGTTCCTTCTTAGTATTATGATGCACTTCATTAAGCAGGCTGTTCTCATCTGTAAGCGAAGATATCTGTGGCAAACGGATGTAGCTAATAACAATAAAGCAACAGTATTTAGCCGCAAAATAATTACAAAAAAGTTTGGTGCAAACCTGAGATTGTAGTTTCTGCCCTTGAGAAGAATGCTGCTGCATTAAATCTTCAATAGTCCTTTTTGCAGCCTGAAGTTGTTCAACTGATTCATCCTTCTCAGCAACAGCAGTGGAATATTTTGCTTCAAGGTCACTTTGTTTGCACTCGTATGTAGACACATCTTCTTTAAGCTTTATATTTGCCTCAGCTAGTTTTCTGCTCTCTTCTTCACAGTGAGTTGACTTGGTTTGCAGTTCCTTGAGAGAATTTTGCAACAAAGGCTTCTCAGCAACCTCAGCCTTGAGATTTTCAACCTCAGATTTTAAAGCAGCTTCTCCTGTTTTTTGTTCATTGAGCTGTTCTTCAAGGTTAGATATCGCTTGCTGGAGTTCCTTCTTAGTATTTTGATGCACTTCATTAAGCAGGCTGTTCTCATCCGTAAGCAAAGATATCTGTGGCAAACAGATGTAGCTAATAACCATAAAGCAACAACATTTAGCCGCAAAATAATTACAAAAAAGTTTGGTGCAAACCTGAGATTGTAGTTTCTGCCCGTGAGAAGAATACTGCTGCTTTAAATCTTCAATTGTCCTTTTTGCAGCCTGAAGTTGTTCAACTGATTCATCATTCTCAGCAACAGCAGTGGAATATTTTGCTTCAAGGTCACTTTGTTTGGACTCGTATGTAGACACATCTTCTTCAAGCTTTATATTTGCCTCAGCTAGTTTTCTTCTCTCTTCGTCACAGCGAGCTAACTTGGTTTGCAGTTCCTTGAGAGAATTCTGCAATAAAGGTTTCTCAGCAACCTCAGCCTTGAGATTTTTAACCTCAGATATTAAAGCAGCTTCTTGTGCCCTTTGTTGATTGAGCTGTTCTTCAATGTTAGATATCGCTTGCTGGAGTTCCTTCTTAGTATTTTGACGCACTTCATTAAGCAGGCGGTTCTCATCCAGAAGCGAAGATATCTGTGGCAAACAGATGTAGCTAAAAACCATAAAGCAACAATATTTAGCCGCAAAATAATTACAAAATAGTTTGATGCAAACCTGAGATTGTAGTTTCTGCCCTTGAGAAGAATGTTGCTGCGTTAAATCTTCAATAGTCCTTTTTGCAGCCTGAAGTTGTTCAACTGATTCATCCTTCTTAGCAACAGCAGTGGAATATTTTGCATCAAGGTCACTTTGTTTGGACTTGCATGTAGACACATCTACTTTAAGCTTTCTATTTGCCTCAGCTAGTTTTCTGCTCTCTTCTTCACAGCGAGCTAACTTGGTTTGCAGTTCCTTGAGAGAATTCTGCAATAAAGGTTTCTCAGCAGCCTCAGCCTTGAGATTTTTAACCTCAGATATTAAAGCAGCTTCTCGTGCTCTTTGTTGATTGAGCTGTTCTTGAAGTCTGGATATCTCTCGCAGGAGCACAGATGTCTGTGGCAAACAGATGTAGCTAATAACCATAAGGCGACAATATTTAGCCGCAAAATAATTACGAAAAAGTTTGGTGCAAACCGTTGGAAACAGAAAATCCATTAGCTTCCAAATCTCTTTGACTGAATGTTTCAATGGCTTCTTGCAACGTCGTCTCAGCTTCCACAATGGGGGCTTCAGAAGCAGAATGAAGTTCTAAGGCTCTCGAGTGCTTATCTGTTAATTCTTTAACACTGCTCTTGTGCAAAGGCTCTGAACTGCATCCTAACAACATGTGTAAAAACAAGGAAGAGGATGCACCAACTCATTAGTGGGTAAAGTCTTTTGGCAGCGTCCCAACTCCAAACCAAAACAAAAATAAAAAGATGCAGGACAATTCAAAGACAATACCTGGTGACTGGGAAGGTGACCGATCATCCAACTCACTGACAACCAGCTTTGCCCTTAGATCAACAACTTGAAACAAATCTGAGGCCAAAGGAAAAAGTTACAAACTTTACACATGAAGGGCGCAAGAAATGTCGCGGTAATACAAGGAACTTTGACGTGGAGCTTCTACAGGGATGATTTATATAGTAAATGATCGTATCCTATGGACCAAACCGAACTGACAATACCGGTTTGATACCAAGAAGAACACGATTGATCAAGGGAACATGCTAATATGAATAACTAGCCAGATTTCTCTGGCTCACTTTCATATCATATTCGCAGAATTCATGAAATGCGGATTCCCCACTATATTTCTGATGACTCCAAATTGAAATTCTGTTTCAAAATGAAGTTCTAAACACAATTCAATAAAGAACGCACAATGCCAATGACATCAGAATCACCAAACGTGCAAATCCAAACTTAACCCGGTTTTCGCAACCATATTATCCGTAAAACACCTCAAATAATTACAATTAGTGATTAAGCATAAGATCAAACCTAAAAAACATTTCAAATCCAAATGCAAACCAAATTAACCAATGGAGCAGCTTCCACGGAAGAAATGGGAGAGATTAAAAGCTCGAATTCGAGAGATTGCCAAACCGAACGGCAATGCATCAAAACCACCACCAGATTAGATTCTTACTTAGCTTTTAAGCTTGGGATGTTTAGTGATTAGTTATATATATTCTTAACTATCTTGCATGAATTGCAGAAATATAAATCTTGAGAGAAAGGAATAACATGAAAAGCAATCTTGTGTGAGAAGATAGAGCTCAGAATCTTTTAGAGAGAGAGAGGGTTTATTACAATAACACCAACCGATTGCAAATGAGAGAGGGAAAAGATCTTTATACAAGGTATTTCGAAGACTACTTAATTCTAAAGCTATCACTGACATGGCAATTGCCTACGTGGCATGTATATCCAATATCCCCCCTCAATCATTAATGGGATAGTCGAGATTAAGATCAGCGGCTTAATGATCTTGTTTTCGTTCATTACAACCTCAGACTAAAACACAAGTGGAAACCATAGGTTCTGTTGATTTGTATTTCCAATGTTCTTTGGTCCAAGAAAACAGATGTTTTGCTAATCAACTGTCTTGTAGGGTTCATAAGCACAAAGAACAGGAGTACGCGGATCCTATATCATTTGACCGCGACAGCATTGCCGAAGAGTGTGTATCAGAGATGGAGATGCACCAAGAAGACACTGAAAATCCAATACAGCATTCTTTTGGAAGCAACAACAAACTGGGATCGGACTCATTTCTTTCTCACTAAAGTTGAACGCAGATATTACAGTTGTCTCCCTCCCTTCACTAGTACTACAAGTCGGAGGGGTAGACCTTCTAAAGCAGCAACTGGTTCAGTTAATGCTGTTACGAAATTGAGTAATGCTTCACCTCCTGTTCCTATTGCATTAGGTACTGCTTTTCCCAATTCAAATTTGTTGGAAAATGAAGACGTTGGCGTAAGTAATACAAATGTGAGCGTGAAGAAGAGGGTAAGGGATGAAAATGCTTTGGGGGCTGCGAATGATGGAACCATCGGCAATGATTACCAGGTAAAAAGGTTGAGCATTGAACAAATACATATGGCAATTGGTCGGTTTTTGTATGAAATTCAGGCTCCCCTGGATGCAGTGAAGAACTCTGTTTATTTCCAGCCAATGATTGACGCAATTGCCCCTGGGGGAAAGGAGACTGTGGCACCCTCATATGATGACATTCGGGGTTGGATGTTGAAGAATGCAGTTGAAGAAATGAAGTGTGAAATTCAACAACACAAGGAAACTTGGGCGAGGACAGGTTGTTCTCTTCTAGTCAACCAATGGAATTCTGAAAAGGGTAGAACTTTGCTAAATTTTGCAGTGTACTCTCCTGAAGGAACAATCTGTTTGAAATCTGTGGATGCTTCTTACTTTATTTTTTCCCCAGATGCTTTGTTTGCATTTTTCAAGGAAGTGGTGGAAGAAATTGGAGTGGGACATGTTTTACAAGTCATTACAAATAGTGAACATGATGAGAAGGTATACGTTTGGGAATGACATTGTTATTTTGAAACACGTTGTCATTTTGAACATGATGAGAAGGTATACGTTTGGGAATGACATTGTTAGGCTGGGAGTATCTAGGTTTGCAACAAACTTTATGACGTTGAAACAAATGGCTGACCTTAAATATAATTTGCAGTCGATGGCTACTTCAAACGAGTGGACGGGCTGCCCCTTTTCTAAAACACCAGAAGGATCGGCAGTGTTAGATATATTCAGCAATCAGTCATTTTGGTCTTCGTGCATTTTGATCACCCGTTTAACAAATCCGCTCTTGCGAGTTTTGAGAATTGTTGGTAGCCAGAAGAGGCCAGCGATGGGATATGTTTTTGCAGGGATGTATCGAGCAAAAGAAACAATCAAAATAGAACTTGTCAAGAAAGAAGAATATATGGTGTACTGGAACATTATAGATCACAGATGGAAAAAATTGTGGGATTTTCCCCTTCACGCTGCAGGATTTTACCTTAATCCCAAGTTCTTTTATAGCTTCAAAGGAGACATGCATAATGAAATTGTGTCGAGGATGTTTGACTGCATAGAGAGATTGGTTCCTGATATAAAAGTCCAAGATGAAGTAATCAAAGAGATCAACATGTACAAAAATGCTGTTGGAGATTTGGGGAGGAATTTGGCAGTCCGAGCAAGGGACAATCTGCGTCCTGGTGAGAATAGTTCATTAGAATGCATTGTTATTTTGTGTCGCATGGTTTCTTTAGTTACTTGGCTATACATGTAGACGAAAGGTAATTAAGCCATATTTTAACTCAGTTAACTTTTATGTAATAGAATGATAGATATGATAAATTGCATAAAATATACCCTGACCATCTAATTTATTTATTTATTTTTAAAATTCGGTACGAGGGCTCCTATTTTGAGGATATGCTGCAGAGAGTTTGGATGATCTTGCATCTTTTGGCTCATTTCTTTGAACTCTCTGTTTGACTTAGCTGAATGGTGGTGGTTGCCCAAACCTCGCACGCTTGGCAATTCGTATTCTCAGTCAAACTTGCAGCTTAGTTCCGTGTCAGGAGAATCAGATTCCTTTCGAACAGTTGCACAAGACAAGGAACAGCATAGAACAACAGCGGCTTAATGATCTTGTTTTCGTTCAATACAACCTCAAACTAAAACAGAAGTAAGTGGAAACCATAGGTTCTGTTGATTTGTATTCCCAATGTTCTTTGGTCAAAGAAAACAGATGTTTTGCTAATCAACTGTCTTATAGGGTTCACATGCACAAAGAACAGAAGTACGTGGATCCTATATCATTTGACCGCAACAGCATTGCCGAAGAGTGGGTAGCAGAGATGGAGATGCACCAAGAAGACACTGAAAATCCTGATTGGATGTCACTTGATCCCCCCTCTGAGAACTCGAGGCTTTTAGAACTTTCGGTTGATGAAGTTGAAGAATTGGGTTCAGGAAACTAAGTTTGTATGGTTTGTAATTTATCGTCGAAGATATAATCTTTTCTACATCTTGAGTTAAATTGGACAGTTGGTCAATGTACAGGGTATGATGACAATGAAATTTTGAACGGATTGAAAGTGGTTAAAGAAGAATGTTAAACACAGCGCTGTGAGCTGGCGGGACAGAATGCAAAGACAAACATCTTTATGAGTTCACCACACCACCGCCACTTTCTTCAAGTACCTACGGGAAGCAAGGCACTTAGCAAACTCGCATGTCTAGGGATACTGCTCGGGCCAATTATATTCTTTCCCTGGCATTACTGCAGAGTGACGGAAATTAGGAGGAAAAATATGTGACCGCGGCCAGCCTTCAGGAATGTGAATTGGTTGGGCAAGTTCCTGCAACAAACAATTACAAGTAGGTAGTTTACATGGTAGAAAAATGGGGCTTTGTAGCTGACAATCAAAAATAGTTGCTGAGTTTTCAGTTTTCAATTTTCAAAAAGAAATATAAAAACTGAAAATTAAATACTTATCAAACGGCCCTGAAGTAATTTCATTTTGGGATCCGACCATATGACTCGAAAACAACTGAGACTGTCCTCTTCTTTTCGTATCAACAAACGCACAAATTCTTATATTTCCAAAAGCATCTGCAACCCAATATACAAACCAAATACAAACTTGAATAATACATAACCATCTGTGTTTTTCTTTGCAAACAGCCAAGGGGATAGCAAAAACACAAAAACTTGATCTAGTATCGTTTCCCAAGAATGAGGCCGATGATCGCAAACACCACAGCCACTCCCACGATGAACTTAACACTCGGCATTGGGGAAGCCTCTGCCTATCTTTTCGCTGCAGCCGCCTTAATGCTTTCAGCCTACAATTCGTCTGAGTCAGAAAGAATATTTAAAAAATGAATGTGCCTCGTTCTTTGGCCGCCCAAGAGCCTATATGTGGATTTTTTTTCCAGGGAAATTGATTTCTACCTCTTTTTGCAGTCGAGCTTCAGTTTTCACCAATTTCTCTTCGAGTTCCTTGAGAGAATTCTGCAACAAAGATTTCTCAGTAGCCTCAGCCTTGAGATTTTCAACCTCGGATTTTAAAGCAGCTTCTCCTGCTTTTTGTTCCTTGAGCTGTTCTTCAAGGTTAGATATCGCTTGCTGGAGTTCCTTCTTAGTATTTTGATGCACTTCATTAAGCAGGTTGTTCTCATCTGTAAGCGAAGATATCTGTGGCAAACGGATGTAGCTTATAACCAATAAAGCAACAGTATATAGCCGCAAAATAATTACAAAAAAGTTTGGTGCAAACCTGAGATTGTAGTTTCTGCCCTTGAGAAGACTGCTGCTGCATTAAATCTTCAATAGTCCTTTTTGCAGCCTGAAGTTGTTCAACTGATTCATTCTTCTCAGCAACAGCAGTGGAATATTTTGCTTCAAGGTCACTTTGTTTGCACTCGTATGTAGACACATCTTCTTTAAGCTTTATATTTGCCTAAGCTAGTTTTCTGCTATCTTCTTCACAGTGAGCTGACTTGGTTTGCAGTTCCTTGAGAGAATTCTGCAATAAAGGCTTCTCAGCAACCTCAGCCTTGAGATTTTCAACCTCAAATTTTAAAGCAGCTTCTCCTATTTTTTGTTCCTTGAGCTGTTCTCCAAGGTTAGATATCACTTGCTGGAGTTCCTTCTTAGTATTTTGATGCACTTCATTAAGCAGGCTGTTCTCATCCGTAAGCGAAGATATCTGTGGCAAATAGATGTAGTTAATAACCATAAAGCAACAACATTTAGCTGCAAAATAATTACAAAAAAGTTTGGTGCAAACCTGAGATTCTAGTTTCTGCCCTTGAGAAGAATGCTGCTGCTTTAAATCTTCAATTGTCCTTTTTGCAGCCTGAAGTTGTTCAACTGATTCATCATTCTCAGCAACAGCAGTGGAATATTTTGCTTCAAGGTCACTTTGTTTGGACTCGTATGTAGACACATCTTCTTTAAGCTTTATATTTGCCTCAGTTAGTTTTCTGCTCTCTTTTTCAAGGTGAGCTGACTTGGTTTGCAGTTCCTTGAGAGAATTTTGCAATAAAGGCTTCTCATCAGCCTCAGCCTTGAAATTTTCAACCTTAGATTTTAAAGCAGCTTCTCCTGCTTTTTGTTCCTTGAGCTGTTCTTCAAGGTTAGATATCGCTAGCTGGAGTTCCTTCTTAGTATTTTGATGCACTTCATTAAGCAGGTTGTTCTCGTCAGTAAGCGAAGATATCTGTGGCAAACGGATGTAGCTAATAACCATAAAGCAATAGTATTTAGCCGCAAAATAATTACAAAAAAGTTTGGTGCAAACCTGAGATTGTAGTTTCTGCCCTTCAGAAGAATGCTGCTGCTTTAAATCTTCAATTGTCCTTTCTGTAGCCTGAAGTTTTTCAACTGATTCATCCTTCTCAGCAACAGCAGTGGAATATTTTGCTTCAAGGTCACGTTGTTTGGACTCGTATGTAGACACATCTTCTTTAAGCTTTTTATTTGCCTCAGCTAGTTTTCTGCTCTCTTCTTCACAGCGAGCTAACTTGGTTTGCAGTTCCTTCAGAGAATTCTGCAATAAAGGCTTCTCAGCAACCTCAACCTTGAGATTTTTAACCTCAGATTTTAAAGCAGCTTCTCCTGCTTTTTGTTCCTTGAGCTGTTATTCAAGGTTAGATATCGCTTGCTGGAGTTCCTTCTTAGTATTTTGATGCACTTCATTAAGCAGGCGGTTCTCATCCATAAGCGAAGATATCTGTGGCAAACAGATGTAGCTAATGACCATAAAGCAATAATATTTAGCCGCAAAATAATTACAAAAAAGTTTGGTGCAAACCTGAGATTGCAGTTTCTGCCCTTCAGAAGAATGCTGTTGCGTTAAATCTTCAATAGTCTTTTTTGAAGCCTGGAGTTGTTCAACTGATTTGTCATTCTTAGCAATGGCAGTGGAATATTTTGCTTCAAGGTCACGTTGTTTGAACTCGTATGTAGACACATCTTCTTTAAGCTTTTTATTTGCCTCAGCTAGTTTTCTGCTCTCTTCTTCACAGCGAGCTAACTTGGTTTGCAGTTCCTTCAGAGAATTCTGCAATAAAGGGTTCTCAGCAACCTCAACCTTGAGATTTTTAACCTCAGATTTTAAAGCAGCTTCTCCTGCTTTTTGTTCCTTGAGCTGTTCTTCAAGGTTAGATATCGCTTGCTGGAGTTCCTTCTTAGTATTTTGATGCACTTCATTAAGCAGGCGGTTCTCATCCATAAGCGAAGATATCTGTGGCAAACAGATGTAGCTAATGACCATAAAGCAACAATATTTAGCCGCAAAATAATTACAAAAAAGTTTGGTGCAAACCTGAGATTGTAGTTTCTGCCCTTCAGAAGAATGCTGTTGCGTTAAATCTTCAATAGTCTTTTTTGCAGCCTGAAGTTGTTCAACTGATTTGTCATTCTTAGCAATGGCAGTGGAATATTTTGCTTCAAGGTCACTTTGTTTGGACTCGTACGTAGACACATCTTCTTTAAGCTTTATATTGGCCTCACCTAGTTTCTTTCTTTCTTCTTCAAAGCGAGCCGACTTGGTTTGCAGTTCCTTGAGAGAATTCTGCAATAAAGGTTTCTCAGCAACCTCATCCTTGAGAATTTTAACCTCAGATATTAAAGCCGCTTCTCGTGCTCTTTGTTCGTTGAGCTGTTCTTTAAGTTCGGATATCTCTCGCAGGAGCAGGAGGACCTCGCGCACAATTATCTGTGGCAAACAGATGTAGCTAATAAGCATAAGGCGACAATATTTAGCCGCAAAATAATTACAAAAAAGTTTAGTGCAAACCACTGGCAACAGAAATGCCATTAGCTTCCAAATCTCTCTGACTGAATGTTTTGAATGGCTTCTTGTAACTTCGTCTCAACTTCCACAATGGGGGCTTCGAAAGCAGAATGAAGTTCTAAGGCTCTCGAGTGCTTATCTGTTAATTCTTCAACACTGCTCTTGTGCAAAGGCTCTGAACTGTATCCTAACAACATGTGTAAAAACAAGGACGATGATGCACCAACTCATTAGTGGGTAAAGTCTTTTGGCAACGTCCCAACTCCAAACCAAAACAAAAATAAAAAGATGCCGGACAATTCGAAGATAATACCTGGTGACTGGGAAGGCGACCGATCATCAAACTCACTAACAACCAGCTTTGCCCTTGGATAAACAACTTCAAACAAATCTGAGGCCAAAGGAAAAAGTTACAAACTTTACACATCAAGGGCGCAACAAATGTCGCGGTAATACAAGGAACTCTGACGTGGAGCTTCTACAGGGATGATCTATATAGTAAACTATCGTATCCTATGGACCAGACCAAACTGACAATACCGGTTTGATACCAAAAAGAACACGATTGATCAAGGGCACATGCTAATATGAATAACTAGCCAGATTTCTCTAGCTCACTTTCATATCATATTCGCAGAATTCATGAAATGTGGATTCCCCACCATATACAATATATTTAAAACTACCATTTAATCGCCTTTTTTCGGTTTCTAATGACTCCAAATTGAAATTTCTATTTCAAAATGAAGTTCTAAACACAATTCAATAAAGAAACGCACAATGCCAATGACATCAGATTCACCAAACATGCAAATCCAAACTTTTCGCAACCATATTATCCGCAAAACACCTCAAATAATTACAATTAGTGATTAAGCATAAGATCAAACCTAAAACACATTTCAAAACCACATGCAAACCAAATTAACCAATGGAGCATCTTCCATGGAAGAAATGGGAGAGATTAAAAGCTCGAATTCGAGAGATTGCCAAACCGAACAGCAATGCATCAAAACCACCGCCAGATTAGATTCTTGCTTAGCTGTTAAGCTTGGGATGTTTAGTGATTAGTTATATATATTCTTAACTATCTTGCTTGAATTGCAGAAATATAAATCTTGACAGAAATGAATAACATGAAAAGCAATGTTGTGTGAGAAGATAGAGCTCAGAATCTTCTCTAAAGATCTTTATACAAGGTATTTCGAAGCCTACTTAATTCTAAAGCTATCACTACCATGGCAATAGCCTACGTGGCATGTATAACTAATATCCCCCCTCAATCATTACTGGGATAGTCCAGAGTAAGATCAGCGACTTAATGATCTTGTTTTCGTTCAATACAAACATAGGTTCTGTTGATTTGTATTTCCAATGTTCTTTGGTCCAAGAAAATAGATGTTTTGCTAATCAACTGTCTTATAGGGTTCATAAGCACAAAGAACAGGAGTACGCGGATCCTATATCTTCTGACCAGGACAGCATTGCCGAAGAGTGGGTAGCAGAGATGGAGATGCACCAAGAAGACACTGAAAATCCTTATTGGATGTTACTTGATCCCCCCTCTGAGAACTCAAGGCTTTTAGAACTTTCGGTTGATGAAGTTGAAGAATTGGGTTCAGGTAACTGAGTTTGTATGGTTTGTATGGTTTGTAATTTATCGTCGAAGATATAATCTTTTCTACATCTTGAGTTAAACAAGACAGTTGGTCAATGTATAGGGTATGATGACAATGAAATTTTGAACGGATTGAAAGTGGTTAAAGAAGAATGTTAAACACAACGTTGTGAGCTGGCGGGACAGAATGCAAAGACAAACATCTTTATGAGTTCACCATACCACCGTCACTTTCTTCAAGTACCTACGGAAAGCAAGGCATTTAGCAAACTCGCATGTCTAGAGATACTGCTCGGGCCAATTATGTTCTTTCCCTGGCATTACTGCAGAGGGACGGAAATTAGGAGGAAAAATATGTGACCGTGGCCAGCCTTCAGGGATGTGAATTGGTTGGGCAAGTTCCTGCAACAAACAATTACAAGTAGGTAGTTTACATCGTAGAAAAATGAGGCTTTGTAGCTGACAATCAAAAATAGTTGTCGAACGAGTTTTCAGTTTTCAAATTTCAAAAAAAAAAAAGAATAAAAACTGAAAATTAAATACTTATCAAACGGCCATGAAGTAATTTCATTTAGGGATTCGACCATATGACTCGAAAACAACTGAGACCGTCCTCTTCTTTTCGTATCAACAAACACACAAATTCTTATATTTCCGAAAGCATCTGAAACCCAATATACAAACTAAATACAAACTTGAATAATACATAACCATATGTGTTTTGCTTTGCAAACAGCCAAGGGGATAGCAAAAACACAACAACTTGATCTAGTATCGTTTCTTAAGAATGAGGCCAATGATCGCAGACACCATAGCCACTCCCACGATGAACTAAACACTCGACATTGGGGAAGCCTCTGCCTCTCTTTTCGCTGCAGTCGCCTTAATGCTTTCAACCTACAATTCGTCTGAGTCAGAAAGAATATTTAAAAGAAGAATGTGCCCCGTTCTTTGGCCGCCCAAGAGCTTATATGTGGATTTTTTTTCTTCAGGGAAATTGATTTCTACCTCTTTTTGCAGTCGAGCTTCAGTTTTCATCAATTTCTCTTTGAGATCCTTGAGGCAATTCTGCAACAAAAGTTTCTCAGCAACCTCAGCCTTGAGATTTTCAACTCAGATCTTAAAGCAACTTCTCCTGCTTTTTGTTCCTTGAGCTGTCCTTCAAGGTTGGATATCACTTGCTGCAGTTCCTTCTTAGTATTTTGATGCACTTCATTAAGCAACATGTTCTCAGCTGTAAGCGAAGATATCTGTGGCAAACGAATGTAGCTAATAACCATAAAGCAACAGTATTTAGTCGCAAAATAATTACAAAAAAGTTTGGTGCAAACCTGAGATTCTAGTTTCTGCCATTGAGAAGAATGCTGCTGCATTAAATCTTCAATAGTCCTTTTTGCGGCCTGAAGTTGTTCAACTGATTCATCCTTCTCAGCAACAGCAGTGGAATATTTTGCTTCAAGGTCACTTTGTTTGGATTCGTATGTAGACACATCTTCTTTAAGCTTTATATTTGCCTCAGCTAGTTTTCTGCTCTCTTCTTCATAGGGAGCTGACTTAGTTTGCAGTTCATTGAGAGAATTCTGCAACAAAGTTTTCTCAGCAACCTCAGCCTTGAGATTTTCAACCTCAGATTTTAAAGCAGCTTCTCCTGCCTTTTGTTCCTTGAGCTGTTCTTCAAGGTTAGATATCGCTTGCTGGAGTTCCTTCTTAGTATTTTGATGCACTTCATTAAGCAGGTTGTTCTCATCGGTAAGCGAAGATATCTGTGGCAAACGGATGTAGCTAATAACCGTAAAGAAACAACATTTAGCCGAAAATTAATTACAAAAAAGTTTGGTGCAAACCTGAGATTGTAGTTTCTGCCCTTGAGAAGAATGCTGCTGCTTTAAATCTTCAATTATCCTTTTTGCAGCCTGAAGTTGTTCAACTGATTCATCCTTCTCAGCAACAGCAGTGGAATATTTTGCTTCAAGGTCACTTTGTTTGGACTCGTATGTAGACACATCTTCTTTAAGCTTTATATTTGCCTCAGCTAGTTTTCTTCTCTCTTCGTCAAAGTGAGCTGACTTGGTTTGCAGTTCCTTGAGATAATTCTGCAACAAAGGCTTCTCAGCAGCCTCAGCCTTGAGATTGTCAACCTCAGATTTTAAAGCAGCTTCTCCTGCTTTTTGTTCCTTAGGCTGTTCTTCAAGGTTGAATATCACCTGCTGGAGTTCCTTCTTAGTATTTTGACGCACTTCATTAAGCAGGCGGTTCTCATCCATAAGCGAAGATATCTGTGGCAAACAAATGTAGCTAATAACCATAAAGCAACAATATTTAGCCACAAAATAATTACAAAAAAGTTTGGTGCAAACCTGAGATTGTAGTTTCTGCCCTTGAGAAAAATGCTGCTGCTTTAAATCTTCAATTGTCCTTTTTGCAGCCTGAAGTTGTTCAACTGATTCATCCTTCTCAGCAACAGTAGTGGAATATTTTGCTTCAAGGTCACTTTGTTTGGACTCGTATGTAGACACATCTTCTTTAAGCTTTATATTTGCCTCAGCTAGTTTTCTGCTCTCTTCTTCACAGTGAGCTGACTTGGTTTGCAGTTCCTTGAGAGAATTCTGCAATAAAGGCTTCTCAACAACCTCAGCCTCGAGATTTTCAACCTTAGATTTTAAAGCAGCTTCTCTTGTTTTTTGTTGCTCGAGCTGTTCTTCAAGTTTAGATTTCGCTTGCTGCAATTCCTTCGTAGTATTTTGATACACTTCATAAAGCCGCCTGTTCTCATCCGTAGGCTTAGATGCCTGTGGCAAACGGATGTAGCTAATAACCATAAAGCAACAATATTTAGCCACAAAATAATTACAAAAAAGTTTGGTGCAAACCACTGACCTGTTGTCCCATTAGCTTCCAAATCTCTCTGACTGAATGTTTCAATGGCTTCTTGCAACTTCGTCTCAGCTTCCACAATGCGGGCTTCGGAAGCAGAATGAAGTTCTAAGGCTCTCGAGTGCTTATCTGTTAATTTTTCAACACTGCTCTTGTGCAAAGGCTTTGAACTGCATCCTAACAGCATGTGTAAAAACAAGGAAGAGGATGCACCAACTCATTAGTGGGTAAAGTCTTTTGGCAGCGTCCCGACTCCAAACCAAAACAAAAATAAAAAGATGCAGGACAATTCGAAGACAATACCTGGTGACTGGGAAGACGACCGATCATCCAACTCACTGACAACTAGCTTTGCCCTTGGATCAACAACTTCAAACAAATCTGAGGCCAAAGGAAAAAGTTACAAACTTTACACATCAAGGGCACAAGAAATGTTGCGGTAATACAAGGAACTCTGACATGGAGCTTCTACAGGGATGATCTATATGGTAAACGATCGTATCCTATGGACCAGATCGAACTGACAATACTGGTTTGATACCAAGAAGAACACGATTGATCAAGGGCACATGCTAATATGAATAACTAGCCAGATTTCTCTCGCTCACTTTCATATCATATTCGCATAATTCATGAAATGTGGATTCCCCACTATATACAATATATTCAAAACTACCATTTAATCGCCTTTTTTCGGTTTCTAATGACTCCAAATTGAAATTTCTATTTCAAAATGAAGTTCTAAACACAATTCAATAAAGAAACGCACAATGCCAATGAGATCAGAATCACCAAACGTGCAAATCCAAACTTAACCCGGTTTTCGCAACCATATTATCCATAAAACACCTCAAATAATTACAATTAGTGATTAAGCATAAGATCAAACCTAAAAAACATTTCCAATCCAAATGCAAACCAAATTAACCAATGGAGCAGCTTCCACGGAAGAAATGGGAGAGATTAAAAGCTCGAATTCGAGAGATTGCCAAACCGAACAGCAATGCATCAAAACCACCACCAGATTAGATTCTTACTTAGCTGTTAAGCTTGGGATGTTTAGGGATTAGTTATAAATATTCTTAACTATCTTGCATGAATTGCAGAAATATAAATCTTGAGAGAAAGGAATAACATGAAAAGCAATCTTGTGTGAGAAGATAGAGCTCAGAATCTTTTAGAGAGAGAGAGTGTTTTATAACCAACCGATTGCAAATGAGAGAGGGAAAAGATCTTTATGCAAGGTATTTCGAAGACTACTTAATTCTAAAGCTATCACTGACATGGCAATTGCCTACGTGGCATGTATATCCAATATCCCCCCTCAATCATTAATGGGATAGTCGAGATTAAGATCAGCGGCTTAATGATCTTGTTTTCGTTCATTACAACCTCAGACTAAAACACAAGTGGAAACCATAGGTTCTGTTGATTTGTATTTCCAATGTTCTTTGGTCCAAGAAAACAGATGTTTTGCTAATCAACTGTCTTGTAGGGTTCATAAGCACAAAGAACAGGAGTACGCGGATCCTATATCATTTGACCGCGACAGCATTGCCGAAGAGTGTGTAGCAGAGATGGAGATGCACCAAGAAGACACTGAAAATCCAATACAGCATTCTTTTGGAAGCAACAACAAACTGGGATCGGACTCATTTCTTTCTCACTAAAGTTGAACGCAGACATTACAGTTGTCTCCCTCCCTTCACTAGTTCTACAAGTCGGAGGGGTAGACCTTCTAAAGCAGCAACTGGTTCAGTTAATGCTGTTACGAAATTGAGTAATGCTTCACCTCCTGTTCCTATTGCATTAGGTACTGCTTTTCCCAATTCAAATTTGTTGGAAAATGAAGACGTTGGCGTAAGTAATACAAATGTGAGTGTGAAGAAGAGGGTAAGGGATGAAAATGCTTTGGGGGCTGCGAATGATGGAACCATCGGCAATGATTACCAGGTAAAAAGGTTGAGCATTGAACAAATACATGTGGCAATTGGTCGGTTTTTGTATGAAATTCAGGCTCCCCTGGATGCAGTGAAGAACTCTGTTTATTTCCAGCCAATGATTGACGCAATTGCCTCTGGGGGAAAGGAGACTGTGACACCCTCATATGATGACATTCGGGGTTGGATGTTGAAGAATGCAGTTGAAGAGATGAAGAGTGAAATTAAGTATGTGTAATGATGATGGTCTGTTGTACCAAAGCCTGATGATGTGTTGCTCAATGAGCAACATACTTAATTATGATCATGCAAGCTGATGAGTCAATAACTGTGAGTGGCAACTGCGATCACCGACAACTAGCAAACAAACGTGGCCAGCTGCGGTGAGCACCGACTACACCGATTGCAACAACATGCAAACATTCATGCAGGGTACGTGGAATTGACACCTGACAAACGTGGCACGAAGATGGTCGAATGGAGATTAATACTGAAATGGCCAAATGGGGATTAATACTGAGCCCACACCAATTGTAGCAATAGTGGTTGAACTTCCAAGTCAAGTGGAAGAAGATGAGAGCTATGATGATTGCAATTTTCAGCATGGCAAAAATCATGTGCTGTTGCATGGTGAGCAGCAAATGCGTCATCATACAAGGCACGTGGAGGAAGGAGTTTCAAGTGGCAATGACCACCGACTGAAGCATGACACTGAAATTGAGGTGTTGTTAGACGGTGAACCGCATGTAGGAAATCAGCAAGGACGCGTGGATGAAGCAGCTGTGAATGGCAGTAACCACCGACTGGAGTCAACAGTTTTGGCAGTCGGTAATGTTCCACCGTTTTGAGGAAACCAAATAGGGTAAGAAAGTCAACATTCTCATCATATTTTGTGTATTTGGTAGAGATAGATTTTAATTTATCAGAGTTTGGTAATCCTGGGATTTTCAAGCAAGTCATCTCGAGTCCAAAAATAGACAATTGATTACAGCAGACATCAAGATAATGGTACCTAAAATTTTATCGAGTTGTACAAGAGAATGTTTCACAGAGAACCCATCAGACAAATTGTGTTTATTTGAGATTCAGTGGGAGCAATTTTATCATTCTAGTTCTGTATGTGGATGATATATTGCTCACCACAAATAGTCATAGTTTGCTGGATGAAACCAAAGTTTTCTTGCAAAGACACTTCGAGATGAAAGACCTGGGAGATGACACTTACGTCCTAGGGATTCAGATCAAAAGAGAGAGAATAAGAGGGCTGCTTGGTTTTTCCACAAAGAGCATACATAGAAAAGTTTAATATGTCTTCATGTGAGACTACAGAAATGCCCATATCAAAGGGTGATATATTGAGCGAATTATAGTGTCCCAAAACAAGCTTGGAGAGGAAGATGATGGAAGATAAGCAATATGCATCCTGGGTTGGGAGTTTGATGTATGCACAAGTGTGCACAAGGCCTGATGTAGCCTTCACCATTTCGGTGCTTGGTAGGTTCCAATCCAGTGCTGGAGAGGCTTACTAGAATGCAGCAAAAAGAGTGATGAGATATCTTTAGAGAACTGGAGATCATACGTTAGTCTACAGAAAGACATAGGACCAAAGATCATATGTTAGTCTACATAAGGACATAAAACATCGTTTAGAAGGTTACGATGACTTAGATTTTGCGGGTTGTCCAGATGATACGAAATCAACATGGGGCTGTGTGATCTTAATGGCATGTGGAGCAGTATCTTGGAAGAGTGTAAAATAACAGACTGGTTGCTTCAAACTATGTTTGCAGAATGCTTGTCCTATTATGGAACTGTGAATCTAGCCATTTGGTTGAAGACTTTCATAACAGGACCACAAGAGGTGGACTCAATCTTGAGAGCTACATAGATTTATTTGACAACAGAGTAGCTTTATTTTTCACTTAGAATAATAAAAGGTAGAATGCAACAAGGAACTTGGATATGAAGTATCTCATTTCTCGAAAAAAAGGTGGTAGCTAGTTTGGTCAAGATTGATTAGTTGGAGACTAATTCAATGATTGTTCATCCATTGAATAAGGATGTTCCCATGGCAGTTTTCAAGAAGCATGTCAGCAAAGCATGGGGGTATTGGGTGATTTTAATGCAGCAAACTCATGCAGGAAACCAGTGGGAGCAAACCGATACAGGAAGCTGCATATCAGGTTCATTTTAAATGTTAGTTTTCTTCAGTTGCAGTTCATGTTCTGGAAGTTGTATTCGAGTATTAATAATAAAGGCTTCTTAGCTAATAAAGAAAATGCTGTAAGGTTGTTAAAGTTCCCAAAAAGTATGCAGCATATAGCTATGATAAAGCATGAATGTTTTTATGCATGATGAGTAATGATCTTGAATTATTATGAAGGAAAAACAACCTAAGGGCTTCATTCAGAAGCATTGGGATTGCTTTCAATCCTGAAGGGGACCAGATGTTTGACATGTTACAAATACATATCCAGTCATGTCTTACATTGTTTTTATATCTTGTTGGAGTCTCATGTGTTGGTTAGTTTCATTGTAAGTAATTATGGGGACGGTACTCTTTGAAAGTTGAGTGTACTGCTCTCTCACAGTACACGCAAGTTTACAGAAAACTCAAGCCCCATTGAGAGAGACTTGCTTTCGGTTGTGTAGAGTTGCAGAAGAACTTCAGTTATTAATCCTAGTTCTTTAAGACGATGTCTTCCACAGGTAAGTGGTTAAGTTGATAATTGTGAATAAGTTTTTCCGTTGCATAATTTACTTACACAGGCTAGATCTATTACAAGATTTATCTACAAACACGTTGTCATTTTGAACATGATGAGAAGGTATACGTTTGGGAATGACATTGTTAGGCTGGGAGTATCTAGGTTTGCAACAAACTTTATGACGTTGAAACAAATGGCTGACCTTAAATATAATTTGCAGTCGATGGTTACTTCAAACGAGTGGACGGGCTGCCCCTTTTCTAAAACACCAGAAGGATCGGCAGTGTTAGATATATTCAGTAATCAGTCATTTTGGTCTTCGTGCATTTTGATCACCCGTTTAACAAATCCGCTCTTGCGAGTTTTGAGAATTGTTGGTAGCCAGAAGAGGCCAGCGATGGGATATGTTTTTGCAGGGATGTATCGAGCAAAAGAAACAATCAAAATAGAACTTGTCAAGAAAGAAGAATATATGGTGTACTGGAACATTATAGATCACAGATGGAAAAAATTGTGGAATGCATTGTTATTTTGTGTCGCATGGTTTCTTTAGTTACTTGGCTATACATGTAGACGAAAGGTAATTAAGCCATATTTTAACTCAGTTAACTTTTATGTAATAGAATGATAGATATGATAAATTGCATAAAATATACCCTGACCATCTAATTTATTTATTTATTTTTAAAATTCGGTACGAGGGCTCCTATTTTTAGGATATGCTGCAGAGAGTTTGGATGTTCTTGCATCTTTTGGCTCATTTCTTTGAACTCTCTGTTTGTCTTAGCTGAATGGTGGTCGACATATGGTGGTGGTTGCCCAAACCTCGCACGCTTGGCAATTCGTATTCTCAGTCAAACTTGCAGCTTAGTTCCGTGTCAGGAGAATCAGATTCCTTTCGAACAGTTGCACAAGACAAGGAACAGCGTAGAACAACAGCGGCTTAATGATCTTGTTTTCCTTCAATACAACCTCAAACTAAAACAGAAGTACGTGGAAACCATAGGTTCTGTTGATTTGTATTCCCAATGTTCTTTGGTCAAAGAAAACAGATGTTTTGCTAATCAACTGTCTTATAGGGTTCACACGCACAAAGAACATAAGTACGTGGATCCTATATCATTTGACCGCAACAGCATTGCCGAAGAGTGGGTAGCAGAGATGGAGATGCACCAAGAAGACACTGAAAATCCTGATTGGATGTCACTTGATCCCCCCTATGAGAACTTGAGGCTTTTAGAACTTTCGGTTGATGAAGTTGAAGAATTGGGTTCAGGTAACTAAGTTTGTATGGTTTGTAATTTATCGTCAAAGATATAATCTTTTCTACATCTTGAGTTAAACTGGACAGTTGGTCAATGTACAGGGTATGATGACAATGAAATTTTGAACGGATTGAAAGTGGTTAAAGAAGAATGTTAAACACAGCGCTGTGAGCCGGCGGGACAGAATGCAAAGACAACATCTTTATGAGTTCACCACACCACCGCCACTTTCTTCAAGTACCTACGGGAAGCAAGGCACTTAGCAAACTCGCATGTCTAGAGATACTGCTCAGGCCAATTATATTCTTTCCCTGGCATTACTGCAGAGTGACGGAAATTAGGAGGAAAAATATGTGACCGCGGCCAGCCTTCAGGGATGTGAATTGGTTGGGCAAGTTCCTGCAACAAACAATTACAAGTAGGTAGTTTACATGGTAGAAATATGGGGCTTTGTAGCTGACTTTTCAAAAATAGTTGCAAAACGAGTTTTCAGTTTTCAATTTTCAAAAAGAAATATAAAAACTGAAAATTAAATACTTATCAAACGGCCCTAAAGTAATTTCATTTTGGGATCCGACCATATGACTCGAAAACAACTGAGACCGTCCTCTTCTTTTCGTATCAACAAACGCACAAATTCTTATATTTCCGAAAGCATCTGCAACCCAATATACAAACTAAATACAAACTTGAATAATACATAACCATCTGTGTTTTGCTTTGCAAACAGCCAAGGGGATAGCAAAAACACAAAAACTTGATCTGGTATCGTTTCCCAAGAATGAGGCTGATGATCGCAGACACCATAGCCACTCCCACGATGAACATAACACTTGGCATTGGGGAAGCCTCTGCCTCTTTTTTCGCTGCAGCCGCCTTAATGCTTTCAGCCTACAATTCGTCTGAGTCAGAAAGAATATTTAAAAGATGAATGTGCCCCGTTCTTTGGCTGCCCAAGAGCTTATCTGTGGATTTTTTTCAAGGAAATTGATTTCTACCTCTTTTTGCAGTCGAGCTTCAGTTTTCACCAATTTCTCTTCGAGTTCCTTGAGAAAATTTTGCAACAAAGTTTTCTCAGCAACCTCAGCCTTGAGATTTTCAACTCAGATCTTAAAGCAGCTTCTCCTGCTTTTTGTTCCTTGAGCTGTTCTTCAAGGTTGGATATCACTTGCTGGAGTTCCTTCTTAGTATTTTGATGCACTTCATTAAGCAGGTTGTTCTCATCTGTAAGCGAAGATATCTGTGGCAAACAGATGTAGCTAATAACAATAAAGCAACAATATTTAGCCGCAAAATAATTACAAAAAAGTTTGGTGCAAACCTGAGATTGTAGTTTCTGCCCTTGAGAAGAATGCTGCTGCATTAAATCTTCAATAGTCCTTTTTGCAGCCTGAAGTTGTTCAACTGATTCATCCTTCTCAGCAACAACAGTGAAATATTTTGCTTCAAGGTCACTTTGTTTGCACTCGTATGTAGACACATCTTCTTTAAGCTTTATATTTGCCTCAGCTAGTTTTCTGCTCTCTTCTTCACAGTGAGCTGACTTGGTTTGCAGTTCCTTGAGAGAATTTTGCAACAAAGTTTTCTCAGCAACCTCAGCCTTGAGATTTTCAACCTCAGATTTTAAAGCAGCTTCTCCTGTTTTTTGTTCCTTGAGCTGTTCTTCAAGGTTAGATATCGCTTGCTGGAGTTCCTTCTTAGTATTTTGATGCACTTCATTAAGCAGGCTGTTCTCATCCGTAAGCGAAGATATCTGTGGCAAATAGATGTAGCTAATAACCATAAAGCAACAACATTTAGCCGCAAAATAATTACAAAAAAGTTTGGTGCAAACCTGAGATTGTAGTTTCTGCTCTTGAGAAGAATGCTGCTGCTTTAAATCTTCAATAGTCCTTTTTGCAGCCTGAAGTTGTTCAACTGATTCATCCTTCTCAGCAACGGCATTGGAATATTTTGCTTCAAGGTAACTTTGTTTGAACTCGTATGTAGACACATCTTCTTTAAGCTTTCTATTTGCCTCAGCTAGTTTTCTGCTCTCTTCTTCACAGCGAGCTAACTTGGTTTGCAGTTCCTTGAGAGAATTCTGCAATAAAGGTTTCTCAGCAGCCTCAGCCTTGAGATTTTTAACCTCAGATATTAAAACAGCTTCTCGTGCTCTTTGTTGATTGAGCTGTTCTTGAAGTCTGGATATCTCTCGCAGGAGCACAGATGTCTGTGGCAAACAGATGTAGCTAATAACCATAAGGCGACAATATTTAGCCGCAAAATAATTACGAAAAAATTTGGTGCAAACCGTTGGAAACAGAAAATCCATTAGCTTCCAAATCTCTTTGACTGAATGTTTCAATGGCTTCTTGCAACGTCGTCTCAGCTTCCACAATGGGGGCTTCAGAAGCAGAATGAAGTTCTAAGGCTCTCGAGTGCTTATCTGTTAATTCTTTAACACTGCTCTTGTGCAAAGGCTCTGAACTGCATCCTAACAACATGTGTAAAAACAAGGAAGAGGATGCACCAACTCATTAGTGGGTAAAGTCTTTTGGCAGCGTCCCAACTCCAAACCAAAACAAAAATAAAAAGATGCAGGACAATTCAAAGACAATACCTGGTGACTGGGAAGGTGACCGATCATCCAACTCACTGACAACCAGCTTTGCCCTTAGATCAACAACTTGAAACAAATCTGAGGCCAAAGGAAAAAGTTACAAACTTTACACATCAAGGGTGCAAGAAATGTCGCGGTAATACAAGGAACTTTGACGTGGAGCTTCTACAGGGATGATTTATATAGTAAATGATCGTATCCTATGGATCAGACCGAACTGACAATACCGGTTTGATACCAAGAAGAACACGATTGATCAAGGGAACATGCTAATATGAATAACTAGCCAGATTTCTCTGGCTCACTTTCATATCATATTCGCAGAATTCATGAAATGCGGATTCCCCACTATATTTCTGATGACTCCAAATTGAAATTCTGTTTCAAAATGAAGTTCTAAACACAATTCAATAAAGAAACGCACAATGCCAATGACATCAGAATCACCAAACGTGCAAATCCAAACTTAACCCGGTTTTCGCAACCATATTATCCGTAAAACACCTCAAATAATTACAATTAGTGATTAAGCATAAGATCAAACCTAAAAAACATTTCAAATCCAAATGCAAACCAAATTAACCAATGGAGCAGCTTCCACGGAAGAAATGGGAGAGATTAAAAGCTCGAATTCGAGAGATTGCCAAACCGAACGGCAATGCATCAAAACCACCGCCAGATTAGATTCTTACTTAGCTGTTAAGCTTGGGATGTTTAGTGATTAGTTATATATATTCTTAACTATCTTGCATGAATTGCAGAAATATAAATCTTGACAGAAAGGAATAACATGAAAAGCAATCTTGTGTGAGAAGATAGAGCTCAGAATCTGTTAGAGAGAGAGAGTGTTTATTACAATATAACCAACCGATTGCAAATGAGAGAGGGAAAAGATCTTTATACAAGGTATTTCGAAGACTACTTAATTCTAAAGCTATCACTGACATGGCAATTGCCTACGTGGCATGTATATCCAATATCCCCCCTCAATCATTAATGGGATAGTCCAGATTAAGATCAGCGGCTTAACGATCTTGTTTTCGTTCATTACAACCTCAGACTAAAACACAAGTGGAAACCATAGGTTCTGTTGATTTGTATTTCCAATGTTCTTTGGTCCAAGAAAACAGATGCTTTGCTAATCAACTGTCTTGTAGGGTTCATAAGCACAAAGAGCAGGAGTACGCGCATCCTATATCATTTGACCGCGACAGCATTGCCGAAGAGTGTGTAGCAGAGATGGAGATGCACCAAGAAGACACTGAAAATCCAATACAGCATTCTTTTGGAAGCAACAACAAACTGGGATCGGACTCATTTCTTTCTTACTAAAGTTGAACGCAGATATTACAGTTGTCTCCCTCCCTTCACTAGTACTACAAGTCCACAGACCTGTAGTACTCGTTGGTCTCCCTAAATGCAAAGGAAAAATGAACACCAACAACATAAACACAACAAACCTGGAAGACAGAAACAAAAAAGCAAAGCCAAAAAGAACCGAATTGGCAACATTAAACCAAAACCTACAGTCAGTGCACCTGAAAAGAAAGCAACCCACGAGTACTACAAGTCCAATTCAATCTAAAAGTTGCAATCTTTGATATACACGTGCAAACAAAGCATCCTCGATATCACCGGTTTCGTCAGCGTCGAATCATCTTTGACCCGGAAACGATAAAGGGCGACGAGGATTGCAGATATGAAGAATTTGAGTGACACTGCACAGACATGTGAAAGACGGATGAGAGAGAAAGAGATGGGTCTGCGAAATATGGGTTTCACTTAACCCGTTTCTACGCGAAATATGGGATATAAAAGGATCTGAAAGTAGGAGGACAAATATGTGATCGCGGCCAGCCTCCAGTGATGTGAATTGGTTCGGCAAGTTCCTGCAACAAACAATTACAAGTAGGTAGTTTACATGGTAGAAAAATGGGGCTTTGTAGTTGACAATTAGAAATAGTTGCCGAACGAGTTTTCAGTTTTCAATTTTTGAAAAAGAAGGATAAAAACTGAAAATGAAATGCTTATCAAACCGCCCTAAACTAATTTCATTTAGGGATCCGACCATATGACTCACAAACAACTGAGACCGTCCTCATTTCATATCAACAAACGCATAAATTCTTATATTTTTGAAAGCATCTGCAACCCAATACACAAACTAAATACAACCTCCAATAACACATAATCATCGGTGTTTTGCTTTGCAAACAATAAATATCTTGACCAACAACCTCTCAAAAACCAAGCTTGAAAGCACAAAAACAAAGCCTTCAATCTTTCTGTGGATAATGTCCACAAAGCGAACAATTAACGAAGTAATCAACCAAAACCTGACGGACAAACCCGAAAACACAAAAACTTGATCTAGTATCGTTTTCCAAGAATGAGGCCGATGATCGCAGACACCACAGCCACTCCCACGATGAACTTAGCGCTTGTCATTGGGGAAGCCTCAGCTGTCTGTGTATGGATATCTGCAGATGATGAGGTTTGAGCAGGTGTTGCTTCTGACTTCTTCTTGCTCTTCCTTTTCGATGGAGTTGAAATGGTTGATCCAATGTCCCTGGATTTCACTTCCAGTCCGGCTACACTGCCTCCATCACCCTGCAACACGATCATTTAAACATAAGTAAATTTAATTTCCCGCTCGAATTCTTGTAAGTTAAAAGCCTTGTGCAAGCTAAGACCCTTTTGGTATGGTTTAATGTCTTCATTTCCCCGAGTTGTTTTCGACAATTAAGTCCAAAAAATTGACATCTACTGAGAGCTTAAGATTACGTAACTAGCGTATGCTGTTTTCGGAATTTCTACAGTGGTGGTAACTACAAAGTGAGTTGGAAACAGAAATAAACATACCCTTTCTGTTACTTTGGTATCTGCCAGCTGCACTTTCTGCTCGAGCTCTTTGACTTGCTTATCTAGAAGAGCGATTTCTTTATTCTTAGCTTCAAGTTCTTCAAGAGAATGCTTCAACGATGCTTCTCGTTCCAGGTCCTTTTGAGAATCTGCTTCCTTCTGTTGAATAGGGAATTCAAACATGAACGTTTTAGCCGGCATTAAATTCCTTTTGTAGAGAATTGTCAGCGTACAGTTTAAGTAAAAGAAATCTTGAAATTGATCGGTTCCTAACCTTTTTGGAAACAGTGGCATGAGCAAGTTGTAACTCGCTTCGGAGTTTTGTGACTTGTTCATTTAATAAATCTCTGTCATGGACCTTGTGCGCATGATCGTCCAATTTTGAAGTCAACTCTGCCTCTCTTTCCGCTGCAGCCGCCTTAATGCTTTCAACCTACAATTCGTCTGAGTCAGAAAGAATATTCAAAAGATGAATGTGCCCCATTCTTTGGCTGCCCAAGAGCTTATCTGTGTTTTTTTTTTTTCATGGAAATCGATATTCTACCTCTTTTTGCAGTTGAGCTTCAGTTTTCAACAATTTCTCTTCAAGTTCCTTGAGAGAATTCTGCAACGAAGGTTTCTCAGCAACCTCAGCCTTGAGATTTTCAACCTCAGATTTTAAAGCAGCTTCTCCTGCTTTTTGTTCCTTGAGTTGTTCTTCAAGGTTGGATATCAATTGCTGGAGTTCCTTCTTAGTATTTTGATGCACTTCATTAAGCAGGCTGTTTTCATCCATAACCGAAGATATCTGTGGCAAACGAATGTAGCTGATAAGCATAAAGCAACAATATTTAGCCGCAAAATAATTATAAAAAAGTTTGGTGCAAACCTGAGATTGTAGTTTCTGCCCTTCAGAAGAATGCTGCTGCGTTAAATCTTCAACAGTCCTTTTTGCAGCCTGAAGTTGTTCAACTGTTTCGTCCTTCTCAACAATGGCAGTGGAGCATTTTGCTTCAAGGTCACTTAGTTTGGAGTCGTATGTAGACACATCCTCTGTAAGCTTTATATTTGCCTCAGCTAGTTTCTTGCTCTCTTCTTCAAAGTGAGCTGACTTGGTTTGCAGCTCCTCAACAAAACTCTCCAGATTCTTCAGCTTTGATAGACTTTCTTCTAGCTCTGCATTTCTGGTTTCAGAAACCGCAGATGTTCTAGCTGACTTGGTTTGCAGCTCCTCAACATGCTCTTCATACAATTTTATTTGGCCTTCTAGGGCATTTAGCTTCTCCTGCAAGTCGTTAGCTTCCAAATCTCTCTGACTCAATCTTTCAATGGCTTCTTGCAACTTCGTCTCTGCTTCCACAATGCGGGCTTCGGAAGCAGAATGAAGGTCTAAGGCTCTCGAGTGCTTATCTGTTAATTCTTCAACACTGCTCTTGTGCAAAACAAGTTCTCTTGTAGTGGCTTCAGTTTCAGATAGAGCAGCATTCAACGATTCCTGCAATTCATCAATCTTGCATTTCAGCTGAACATTCGTCTCAACTAGCATTTCGTTTTCTGAGAAAAGCTGAGAAGCTTTGTTTTCTGCTTCCAAGATCTGTTTTCTGAGTTCTTCATTGGTACTTTCGGAAGATGCCAATTTAGCCAAGCTGTTGTCCAGCTCTTCTTTCAACGATGCAGATTTCCCCGCAGCTTCAGCAACATGCTCGTCATAAATCTTCACCTGATCGTCAAGAATCTTTAGTTTCTCAAGCAGAGAATTTGCCTCGGCATCCCTGTTAGTGAAGCGCACTATTGTTTCTTGAAGTTTGATCTCTGAATCCCTCACTAGGGTTTCATGTAGCGCTTCAAGCTCTGATTTCTTCGACATTGTTTCCTCTATTACTTTGCCTTGTTGCTCCAGTTGCTCCTCCGCACATTTGAGTTTCTGTATGACCTCGCCTTCTCTGATTCCAGCAGTATTCAGATCATTTTCAATGCTTTCCAATTTCTCTTGAGTCATCTTCAATTCTTCTCTTAAGACCTCCACCAATTTTTCTGATTCGGAAAACTTCTCAGTAAAACTACTCGATGCATCCTCCAACCTTTTCTTCTCTTCTGTGGCAACATTCAAGGCTTCAAACAACTCCCTTCCCTTTTCATTGGCCGCTTCCAGGTCAACTTCAAGGCTAGATGTTCTCGCTTGGAATGCCTCGAGTTCAGAAGCAAGTTCAGATACCTTGTTAGAGTAATTCCCAGAATCTGCTTCTGCCTCCTGACATTTCTTTTCCAAACCAGTTATTTGTTCCTCGAGTTCTTGAATTCTGGACTTCTCTGTTTCAAGCATCAACTCCAGCTCACTCACCTTTTTACCAGTATCCTCCACTTTGGTATGAGAAATTTGGACCAAATCTTCAAGTTCAAGGCTTCGCTGATGGTGTTCAGTGGCCCGGCCCTCATGTTCGGCACATTTCTCGGAGGCAGTCTTCAGTTCCTCCTGAAGATCTGAATATTGCAAAGTTGACTGGTTTAATGCAGATTCCAGCTGGCCTATCTTCTCTTGGTATTCTTGCACCTGACCAGTCAGCTGTTTCTTTTCTTCCTCGACCTCGCTCAATGCAGTATTGAGTGCAGATAATTTTTGAGAGAGTTCTTCCAGACCACTCTCAGCAATTCCTCGGTTCAGCTCTACCGCACTTACCTGTTGCTCGAGCTCTCTCAGTTGCGATTTGGCCTCCTCCGCTGCTGCATTTGAAGCTTGAATAATTGCTTCAAGTTCAAGATTCTTTTCAGTAGCAGTTGCAAAAGCAGCTCCTGATTCATTATGGAGCTCATCCAGTGACTTCAACTTCTGTTCAAGCTCAGCATTGTTCGACAAAGATTGAGACAAAAGAGCATCTTTTTGATGAAAATTCTCTTCTGAAAGCTTCAATTTTTCCTCGAGATCACTGCACAGCTCCTTCATCAGCTGCACATTACCGGTGAGATCTGCCACAGCTGCTTCCAGAGCTTCTTTTTCTTTGGTTACTATTGCCAAATTCTCCTGTGTAGCTACGGACTGTTCTTCATGAGTTTTTCGTGCAGCTTCAACTAATTCCTTGGCGCTCAATTCCCCCTGTAGCTTCAACTTCATTTCTTCCAATTCAGAAACCTTTGCTTGAAGATCTTCTTTAGTTGATGCAAACAGATTTTCAAGAGCGGAAATATCTTCCTTCACTTGAGATTCCGAGGCCTTTTTCAGGCTCAATTCCTCAGTCAGTTCATTTATCAGAGCATCCTTAGCCGAGAGTTTCTCCTCCAGGTCTGCGCCTTGAGACTTTGATAGAGCCAGCTCTTCTTGGACAGCAGAAAGCTCGGCAGCGGTAGAACTGAGTGCTTCTTTGACTTTTTCATCTTCGGCAATCTTTTCATACAGGCCCTTGAGCTCTCCTTGTATGGAACCCATCTGATCTTCCATCTCCTTCGCACTCAACCTTGTTGCTTTGAGCAGTTTCTCGAACTCCAAGGCCCTCTTTGTCTCAGTTTCGGCATGTGAACCACTTTGCTTGTGCAACTCCTCAAATTTTTGCACCTCGCAGGCAGAACTCTGCAACTCTTTCTCCAAGTCCTGCATCCTCTTTCTCGAGCTTTCAAGCTCAAGGTTGAGACCGTCAAACAATTCCTTCACCGCGATCAGATCCTTGTGCTTTTCTTCTTGAGCTTGCAATGCCTCTTGCAAAACATTGAGCTGCGAACTGTATTTCTCCTCGGCTTCGGTGATTTGCTCTTGCAATTTCTTATGACTGAGTTCAAGCTCTTCATACTTCTTTCCACTTTCTCCCAGCTTCTCCTTCATAAGCAAGACCTCATGCTTCAGCTCAGAACTCTCTGATTCCGAATGCTTCAACGCACCAGCCAACCTTTCGATTTCAACCTCAAGGTCACTGACCTTCTCCCGCCCTTCTAGCAATTCTCTGCTCAAATTGCTCGAGCTTCTCTCGATAACAGATACCTTGTCGTCCCCCGCCAATGCTGTTTCAGCAGCATGAGAACCATCCTTCACATCTACCGATTCTCTCTCAACTTTTATGAACTCTCCATCAAATGTTGCTTCCTCCTCTTCTTTCTTTCCTTCTTTTTCTACCGGCAGCAATTTCCCATTCGATACCTACATCGAAAACAACATTCAGCATCCATTCAAATCATACAAAATCAAATGATCCCACGAAAGGACTTAAACGTTCAGTTGCAAACTAATCCATGAATGACTACTGTAACTTAATTCCGATCACTTTGAACAAAACTAGAAAAGAGAAAGGCTTGAATCACAGAACGCAGATCGCGGTTACCTTGATCGCTTCAGCATTTGCAGTCTCGGCAACCTTCACCGGGGTTTCGGAGATCACTTGTGCTTCTTCCATAATTTACCCAGCTCCTACTCCACTCGCTTCTCTGCGATTTCAGAACAAGAACAACTTCATCAGATACTTTAATGATATCAACTTATAAAAATAATACAGATTTTTCAAAAAAAAAAAAAAGATTCTAATTACTACACTTCATTTTTTTCTGGAAAATTCTTTTACGTGAAGGCTTTGCAATCTTGCATGAAAAATAAACGCAGAGAAAGACATTTCGTAACAGCAGGAAAGCATAGAGGGGCAATTATGTAATTTGGGTCCCAGGGCCCCTGTGAATTGTGTGCCGGAAATAGACAAAAAAAAAATCTGACGTGGAACCCAAAACAGGGACCCACCCCCAACTCATACTAGTGGCCCATCAGCATCATGGCACAGCATTTTATTCTTCCGTGATGCTCTTTATTTATTATTTCATAAGTAAAAAGTACAAAAAGAAATTTTATAATTAAATTAATTAATATAATAGAAAAAATTATTTCAGTTTAATAATTTTTTCTTTTATAAATTACTACAATTTAGTAATATTATTTTTCACTTATAAGTAAGAGGTTTTAGATTTGATTTTTACCAAAGGCAAAGTTCAACCACATTATTGGTAGGCCATTATGAGGCTAAGTCCATAATTTTATTTTAATGTAGATAATATCGTTTGTTAAAAAAAAATTTCTAAAATTTAGACGCTCTTTCTTTGACTCTCTCATTGAAATTGAAGGCTTGGATTATAATTAATTAGTAATTAGTATCAAATAATAAAAACTTTAGTAACTCTAAGTTTTGCTTGCCAAAAACTTAGAAGATTAAAATTTTGGTTCCATTAAAAATGAATAATTGAGTTTAAGCAATGATGCTAGGTCTATCATCAATACATGGACCACTAACAAAGCATGGGTTCCTGCCTTTTGGCCACATTCAAGGACATAATGACCTCGATAACGATAATGTTCAAGTTGATCATAACTCGTGCTAATAACACTACATAACTGTGTAATCGTCATAGTCCAAAGAGGAGAAACCAATAGGAAAGCACTCAATTATCTTCAAGGTGAGATCAAAATCACATGCTGGCTGCCAATTTTTTTGTCACTTAAACTAGTGATGATCTAACATGTGATGATCTCATGTGGAACGATTTAGTATGTGGGACCCAAAATTCTTCATCCAAAGAATATAATTTTTTACACATCCAGATACACTAAATGTACTATACAATTAGTTAGATATTTGAAGCAAAAAATTCAATTGATGTACCGAACAGTGTTACCACAAAAGATTACTCCATTTTCATGGGTTAAAAATGGAAAAATAAATTAGAAAAAAAAATGGAAAAAAATTAAAAGGTGTACATCTTTGAATCCCTAGAGACATCTGGACCGTCCGTTGCTAATACAAAAAGAGTGAAGCAAGCAGTGGGAGGTGGCCACGAGAGAGGATCCTCGCCGGATCCTCTTTGTGAGGTTTCTAAAAATCCTTCAATCACATCCGTTCATCGTACATCATGTGATCAGTTTTTGTTAAATACTGTTTATATTTAATTTTAAATAAAAAATTTATAATGATTTCTGACCGTACGATATACAATGAACGAATGTAATTTGACGATCCTTACTTGGAGGCCACTAGCAAAGTTGGCAGTCCATCCTTTATATTTTTGGATGTATCTTTTTATTTGAATCGACAGATCACAAACCCCATCTTTTCTAAATTTCCCTTCCAAAGTTATGACCAAAAAGAAAAATTAGAAAATAAAAAAGATTCTTTCAAAGTTAAAGAGGGGAAAGGAAGAAGGCGGGGGCGGGATGGACAGGTAGCTTGGCCATCATTTTCTTTCTTAAGTTTTTTTTTCCTACTTTATAATTTTAATCACCATCTTTGGCTCCGTAATTACATAAAAAAAGGCATCTCAATTATCTTCGACAATTGGAGAAAAATTAGGCAGCCACTAATTGAGGTGGATAATCAAGATCAGCTTTCACATGATATAAACACACTCTAGACGTGCTCGTTAGAATGTTTTTAGGTTTCAAAAGCACAAATGTTTCTTGCAATAAGCACTAGTTATGTGTTTTTTTTGTATTGTTTTAACACTACATTTAAACAAGCTCTATAACATGAATATGGGCGAGAAAGAATGGGTACTAGATCAATTAGGTATTCCTAATCAATCTAATTCTCGATTTTTCATGTACATTTAAGGGCCAAAGAATAGAACTCGCAAATCAAAGCATACTAAATACACAAGCGTCAACAAACGCATTAGACTATTTTCAAATAAGATGTCGAATGGGATGTGAAATGCGATCTGACTCATTTTATGTAAGTAAACTTGTCAAACATACATAGCATCATTTTGAATGAGGATATTCTCCGGATTCTTTAATCATGTTTGTTTATCGTTTATCGTGTGGTCAGAAATAATTGTAAATTTTTTTTATTTAAAATTGAATATAAACAGTACTTGACAAAAACTGATCGTACGATATACGATGAACAAATATGATTGAAGCATTTCCGGAATCCTTACAGAATCCGAAGAGGATTCTCGTTCCATTATTTTCTCCTTCTCACACTTCCGACTATTTTTGTTGCTCAAATCCAATTATTCAATGTCGTTAATAAAAAAATTGACTCTAAAATAAAAATAAAGAAAATTCAATTAAGAGCTGGAATCCACTGCAACAGGACGTGCAAGTAAACCAACCTCAAATATGTTAAATTTACCAATAAATTCATACTTCCTTAACCATTTAATAGCGATTTAAGCAGCTTTAACGACTAAAATATCTACCAAACACCCCTAATTAAATAAAATTTAATTGATTTTATCATCAAAGTGAAGATATGAAGAAAATGGACCAGAAAAATGATCATCAAGGATCAGCAATCAACAAATGGAACGTGAAGAATATTGATCGTCCTGATCGGTTTCTTTGATTCTTTCAAAGTATTTTTTCGATTCGTCGATATTTTAAACTACTCTGATTTATTAGATACGGGATTCAAAGTCCGTCTTGACCAACTGACATGACCCTTCTGCAACTTCTTTCAAAGACTTCAAAGACACGAACTTTGACATCAGAAACAAATGAAAATTGAAATGCGCAATCCAATTCACATAAGAACCAAATTCTAAAACTTCACCCAAATCTAAACCAAACCCAGATTCCATCATCGCACAAGGATCAAATTCGATGCTTAACCAGTTAATCGAAACACCATAAGCAAAAGAAAGAAGAAAACAGGTATGCATAAAATAAATGCATAACAAAAAAGGAATAAGTAGAGAGAGTGAGGTTGATGACTTGCCTGATAAAGTTTTGATTGGATTCTCCTTAGATTTCTGGGAAGCTTTTTTTGTTGTTTCTTCCCGAGAGACGAAAAACAAATGGAGTGATTAGGATTTTGGTGAAGGTGATGAGGATGATGAAGGTGAAAATACAAAATGAAAAGGCAGAATTTTTTTTTTTTGTCAAACAAAAAGAAAAGCTAGATGAGTTGAGAGAGAGAGATTCCAACTATATAAATATGAGTGAGGGGGCAGAAGGGTCCACCTACAGTGCCAGGCAATCAAACGGTAGTAGAAGAATTTTCAGTGTGTTCGGAACACAGAATATATGTTATTATACAATTAAAAGATTTTTTTTTCAAATGTTTCTCCAATTATATAATAGTATGTAATGTTTCGGCCCGTGTTCTGAGCACATTGAAAAATCTATGTTCCTTTTTATTTTTTATTATTTTTTGAAACGTACGGATTCCAAAACAGTAAGTCTATTTTCACCTGTTCAAATCTGTAGATTTGAAACCTGATTCGAAATTCCATTGTTTTGTTATGTGAATGTGTGATTGTGTAAATATTGGTTGATTGTATTTAGAATATTAGAAGATTTATTTCTAAATTAGGTTCCTATTCTTAGTTTTTTTTTACTCCAATTAAAACTTTATTCTTTTTTAAATTTTGATCAAGATCATTCGGTTTTAATAAACATCATTAATTATTCAAAAACAAAATATTTATGTAACATCCCACATCGTCCAGGGAAGTGGATCATGTAAGCCTTATATGTATATTCTCATCTCTACCTAGTACAAGACCTTTTGGGAGCTCATTGGCTTCGGATTTCATCGAAATTCCGAAGTTAAGTGAGTTCACGCGAGAGCAATCCCAGTGGGTCACCCATCCTGAGGGAGTGGTTGGGGCCCAAAGCGGACAATATCGTGCTACGGTGGAGTTTAGCCTAGGATGTGGTGGGGGCCTGGGCGGGGATGTGACTATTTGGTATCAGAGCCAATCCTTGGCTTGAAGTGTGCCGACGAGGACGTCAGGCCCCTAAGGGGGGTGAATTGTAACATCCCACATCGCCGAGGGGAGTGGATCCTGTAAGTCTTATATGTATATTCTCATCTCTACCTAGCACGAGACCTTTTGGGAGCTCATTGGCTTCGGGTTCCATCGGAATTCCGAAGTTAAGCGAGCTCGCGCGAGAGCAATCCCAAGATGGATGACTCATTGGGAAGTTCTCGTGTGAGTTCTCAGAAACAAAATCGTGAGGGCGTGATCGGGGTCCAAAGCGGACAATATCGTGCTACGGTGGAGTTTAGCCCGGGATGTGGTGGGGGCCCGAGCTGGGATATGACAATTTACATGTTACGGTAATAAAGTTTTATTTTTAAATATAATCATTTAGTGTTAGAAACGTTACATTTGATATATTATATTTATGGTTAAATTTTTTATCATATATTTATATTTCTAGTTTGTACCTATTTTTAATTTGCAACTATTTTTTAAATTGTACCAATTTTCTTTTAAATTTTGATTTGTACCCATATATATTTTTTTTTGTCCCTTATTTAAACTTTTATTTGTACTCATAATTTTTTAAACCTTTTATTTGTACCCATAATTTATTTATAATGTACACTTTTTTTTACAAATGTACCACTTTGTTTTATGTTTACTAGCATATGGGCACACACAAAGTGTGTGAGAAATTTTTTTATTTTTGTTTTTTGAAATAGAAGGAGAGAGTAAGAGAGTGATACAGAATGTGGGAGTGGCAAATATTTTTTTTTCTTTTTTAAATTAGAGATATGTTAGGATTACATGTAAGTGAGGCTTTGAAAAAAAAACAATAAAATTTAGTTGTGTAAAGTTACATTTATGCCTTATATTTCTTATTCATGTTCTGTTTTAATTAGAGGGTTAAACTGGTAATTTCATAGGACAATGAGTGTTTTATTAATTAGTAGAGATGTATCCCTATTTTTTGTTGTAAGTACCATTTTTTATGTAAAATGTACCCTTTTTTTTATGTAAGATGTACCCATTTTTAATGTAAAATCTATTTATTTTTAATCTAAAATGTACCATTGTTTTTTTTTTTTAAATATAAAATGTACCCATTGTTTTCTATATAAAATGTACCCACATTTTTATGTAAATGTACCAATTTTTTATATATAAAATGTAGCCAAATTTTTATTACATAAATGTACTCATTTTATAAAAATAAAAACCTTTTTTTATATAATCTAGAATGCACCCATAAGCAATTTTGAATAATTAAATTGGTAGTGTAAATGAAAGTAAAAAAAAAAAAAAAAGGTTGAGTCTGTATTGGGATTATTGCATCTCTTTTATTATGTCATTTATGTAGCATAAGAGGAACTTCAATCAAAAATCTAAAATGTATAAGGTTTGAGTCTATAGCAGTTAGAAAAAAAAAAAAGTCTATGTAACAGAGGGACTTCAATCATTTATGCCATATTTTTATAATCCTTCATGTTGAAGGGTTCAAAGTCTGTTCCATGTTGGTGTAAACTGCCACTTCGTGGGTTGCTTTTGTGTTAAAAAAGTCATTGCCACAGAAGAAAAAAGAAATGGTGGCTTTTGGGTCCCCTCAGATTGGCGGCCATCCGCGACCGACTAATTCTTTAGTCGATTAAGACATTTGCCTCTCTCACCTTTGGCATCCATGTTTATAAACTAATTTAAACAAAATTTCCAATTGGGCTTTTTAGGATTTTTTATTAAAAGGAAGGTTGAACAGTCCAACCTTCCCTTCTACTTTCTTCAGCTGGTCGTATACAATTTGAGGAGTTTGGTCTGTGATCAATGTTTCTCTTTCTAGCACCTTTAATCAATTTAAATTATAATACAAAGATGTAATCTAAAGTTAAGTGAGTGCTCATAGCGCCAATGGCTTGGTAGTTAGTAGCTTTTAAATTTCATTTTGCTCAATTTGATTGGATTGTGGGAGTGTTCATAGCGCGGATGGCTTGTCTACTCCTGTTTTCCGTTCATTCATTTAGTTTGTTGGCCTGTAGCAGCGGCTTTGCAATGATGGTGCGGCTGATATGGTGGTTTTTTTTTCAGTTCTAGAGTTTTTTGCTCTTTTTCAGTTCTAAGCACTGCCTTTTTGGGCATATTTCATTGTAATTGCTTTATGTGGAGTTGGACATTGCTCGGCAGTTTTGAACTCTCTTTTTTAATGGCCCTTACTTTTATATTAACTTTTTTTAATGAAATTTATTTTGATTGACAAAAAATAATAATAATAAAATAAAATAAAAAACTGTAACATGCAAAATTATGATAGCCGGTGGAATCGTGTGTTTTGGAAGTATATATGTTTAGCTGTTTGGTACGACAATTATTTGCACAAGGAAATGTTTGGTTTAGATCCTTGTCGAACACAGTCCATTGGAACAAACAAAGATGTTTACAGATTCAGACTAATTAAAATTAAACATTCTGACTTGAACTTTCTAATACTATAAGGAGGTTAATTATGGAAGAATCATGTGAAAGTGATATCGAAAACGTTGAGTTAGGTTTAAATGTAATTAAGAAATGGACTTAACATGTGTTAGGATTCTATTAAGGTAAAACTTTTCTGATTTAAACTCTACCTACTTTGAAGTAAATATTTGTTTCAAACAAAGTCGGACGGTAATACTGAAACTTATATACAAAACTCCAAGTACCATTTTAATGAAGCATTAAGCGCATCTTAATCATTTCAAAGTTTGAATGAGTGTGATATCTATATATATAAATTAGGCAACTTATGTTTGATGCCTATAACACTACTGTTATACTAGTGTGAGTTAAATATGTTGGTTTTACACTCAAATTTTTCGACCCATTTTAAAAGTATAATTTCAATATGAATTCAACATATTGATATCATACTCACTTTTCTTGACATACTGTAAAACACCTTAACATTTGACACGGGCCATATGATTAAAAAGACAATTATTTACATTGCTCTTTCAATACTATTTTCCAAAAATAACTGACTGACTACCTATTGGTCTAATTTCTCGAACTTAAAAACATAAATATAATATCCCCATATATATACATACATATATATTTACAAATATTCGGAGAATATTTGGAACGGGAAAACTTGTGGGAAATCTCCCATGGCAGAAAACAGAGATTCCTTGGAGTAGAATATCTAGATCATAGCCCGCCAAACACCACCTTTGAGCCTTTTGACTAGTTGTTGTGGACTTCTAAAATTTGGCCGACTTAAGAAACTCTTCTCGAAAAAGGAAAAAAAAAAAAAGAAAAAGACGGCAGTCCTGTTTGGTCATTGATCACAAATAGAAAGAAAATGAAATGAATGCTTAACTACTCGAATAAACAATCCCTAATAACACAAATAATAATTGCGCGTGTTTTTGAAATTCAAAATATTTTAAACACATTGTCAATTATTTTAAAAACATTTACAAACGAGCTCGAAAACTCTCAAAAGAATTAGTCATGGAATAAGAAAAACACTACGCTTATATATGCATGGATTGACCATGTAACATCCCACATCGACCAGCGGAGAGGCAGTGATATGTCATATATGTACATGCTCCTCTCCCTATAACACGAGGCCTTTTGGGGACTCATTGGCTTCAAGTTCCATCGAAACTCCGAGGTTAAGCGAGTTCGGACGAGAGCATTCCTAGGATGGGTGATCCACTAGAAAGTTCTCATGTGAGTTCCCAGAAACAAAACCGTGAGGGCGTAGCAAGAGCCCAAAGCAGACAATATCGTGCTACGGCAAAACCGATCTGGGACGTGACAGGCCATCTGTGTAGTTCAGAAGTACCATATTAATGTCCAGAACCTTTTAATTGCTCCTATACTCTCGCAAGTTTCTTCGTCCTTTTCATATTCTCCACATTCACGTTCAAATGAAAATAAGACGATGGAACTTCATATATTTCTCAAATTATAAACAAAAATATCCCTCAAATGCTACTTCCTAGTTCAAAACACATAAAACATATTTTAAGGAAAAAAAAACCTAGACTCCATATTTTACGCTATATGATTTCATTCTTCTATCACAAAGTACTCTTTTATTTTCTTTAAAAATCCAAATAAAGGTTAACAATGAAAACAAAAAGAAGAAAATGGGGGAGGGTGGAAAAAACTCACTATGTTCCGATTTCAAGTCCTCTTTTACTCTTTTATGGT